AGGTGCAATTTCGGTACTTTTAGAGGTATTACTTGCGTTTCTGAATTAATAACGAAACTGCAGCGATGGCTAAGCAAATATTTATATATATATATTCCAGAGCTAAATTCCGAGGCGCAGATTTGGATATATTTTGCGACGTTTTGCGTAAAGCTGTTTGTTGGTAAATAATTTATGAACGTGCTTTCTTACGTGTTTTTTTTTTGCATAGCAATATAATTGTAATTTGTTAATAAATGCATGTTGTAAATTGAAAATGAAATAACTGTCTTTTTTTTTTTTAACTGCGTGCCTCCTTTGATTTGGCATTGGTGGCTATGTAAATTACTATAGTGAAATCTCGGTAATGCCTCGAGCTCCTCAATTTTACATCTCTGAACAATCTTTAGCAACAACAAGTGCAACAACAAACCGCAAGAACAACCACAACAACCACAAAAAAAAACAAAAAAAAACACGCACAATATTTTACTATTAAGTTGGATCAGCGCACAGGATCAGTGCAACTCGGAAAATGCCACCACAGTTATCTTTCAAATCTCGGACCATTTTCAAAAGAGATTTACCACTTAGCTCGTCAACTTTAGGACAACAGGTCATAGTTTCCGGTCACGACAAAAGCCACTGTTTTGGTTTCCAGTTAGGGCCATACTATTTGCGCTTTAGAGGAAAGAGACGTTTTTCCTTTGTAACAGATCATAGATATTGCATAAAATGAAGAAGAGGGGCAGTTGAAACTGCCCCTTTTAACAAACGTGCCCCGCGGCCGCGCGAGGTGGAGGCATGTTTATAGAATAGAATGCTATGAATACGAGTTTCCTAGCGACTACGCCCAGGAGTCTATTTATTTGAAGGTATCGACGTCTATCGGAGCAACACTTGTGTGCAACTTTTGTCATGGGACAAACTGGTATTGCCAATGGTAATGGCGTCAACGCCATATCCAACTGAAGAAATATTAATTGATACAAGCGCGTTCTATTTTTTTTTTTTTTTTGTCTAGCATATATGTCTACACTTGGATATTATTTATGTATTTATTTATTTTTAATAGAGAGAACTGCAAAATTACGTAAACTCTGATTTTCGAAAAACTGGGAAGTAAACCACAATAAACTCGGATAAACTTCAAATTTTCGGCAAAAAATAAACTGAAAAAAATTCTCTCAGAATTTTACGAAACATAAACTCTGAAATCACGAAATCTTAGCCAGAGGGCGTACAGTCCTCGGGCCAATGCCTCGGGCTAGGTGAGATGAATGGATGGATGGATGGATGCGGCTCTACCCTTTGAATCGAGTGGCGATTTGCGCCATCTAATCAGTGTTTATTATATATATATATATATATATATATCAGGGTGTCGAACCGGAACCGAACCGGTATTTTTTCCGGAACTGAACCCGAACCCGAACCGTTATATTGTTATCGCGATTAACCCGAACCGGAACTGAACCGGAAAAAAGAAATAACGGTTATCGGCTCATATCAAAACGGTTCGGCCACGCGCTGTTGACAATGAATGTGCTATCAATGCCATTTGTTTTTTAAGTGCCGTCAAGTGACACACACCTCGCTTACATATTTTTCTCCACTCAGTTTTAGGAATATAAACGCTGCATCCATGAATCTTGACAAACGCTGCATCCATGAATCTTGACATAGAAAGCAGTATTGCGCTGGTCGCGGCTTGCACGGAAGAAAAAGAATTGAAAGACTGTGCAAAAAAAAAAAAAAAAATCGCGTCACGGGATTTCATTTTTCTACACTCTCGTAAATCCTAAATGCTGCTGTGTGCTCATTTCATAACACGTTTCTAGAACGCGCGAGTTCTTGAAGCTTGCTTTCATCGAAATGAGAAAAGAAAAGGCTGTGGAGTTTGATAATAATGCATAGAAGCTAACATACTTGTGAGACAGCGAACTCTTCTATTTTAATATTTATCCTATTACGTCCTTCTGGCGTTGCGTTCGGTGAAGTGTTTTTCATATTCCGTATCTTGTTTAATGAAAACTTCTTTAAGGGTCTAATTTGAGTTACCGAAGGCTAGTTCAAATAAAGAAAGCTGTATTTTCTCCCCACTGTTCCTTCAATTGCTTACACGCCGAGGTGGCGGGATAGTTAGCGAGTTCTACTTGTAAGTGTGTTTGTAAGGAGGTCGCGGATTTTACAGCTACTGCGTCGGACCCAATTAGATGAAGTCCGAATGCGTAAACGTCGGTGAGGTAACCTTTGAGTGCACATAAAGAAACCATTCCTGGTAGAAACCCCTGAGCCTTACACTACGATGTATCCCGTTTCGCATGTGCTGATTTCAGATGTTTTATTTGTAATATATTTTGATGTTGCCATTTGTCATTTATAATTTCCGAACCGGTTCGCGAACCGGTTCAGCGCCCCGAACCGGTTCGCGAACCGGTTCGCGGATCGAATTAATCGAACCGGAACTGAACCGGAACAAAATAAATTTACCTGAACCTGAACCGTAACCGAACCCGTATTTTTTTCGGTTCGACACACTAATATATATATATATATATATATATATATATTTAACATGGAGTTATGCATATAGAGGTTTATTCTTAAAAGCTATATACTACCGCCACGCGCATCATTGAGCGAGCGCATACGTGGCCGAGTGGTTCCCGTGCTTGGTTGTCGCCTGGATCTGGGTTCGATTCCAGGGAGCGGAATGCTCTTTTATTTATTCCTTCTACTTGGCGTTCTCGCAGATTCGAAAACATTCTCGTCTGATCGAGTTACGAATGTTCTACGAGTCGAACGTTCTAGGCCGAATGTTCCAGAAACCCACGCGGCTACAAAAGGCCCTCCGCGTGGCAAGCCGGGGGCAGTCTCGCCCCAGCGTTCGACTCTGCTGTTACGCCGACTTCGACGCCCGCGACGCTCACTTGTCATCTTCTGCCCGCTTCTTGTTTTGGGCACAAGCTATTATTTTGTCCCCTTATCATTCGTGACAATACGATCCTTACGACGGAGGCGCCTCTGTGCAACCACACCTTCCGCCCTACGGGTAGCCCGGAAGAGAATAAGAAAATATTCACCCTTCATCTCGACCTATGCCACCAGGAAGATAATCTCTTCTTGGTTATTTCCAACATTCCCCAGTCTATTTTCCCCTCAATATCTCTAAATCCCAGTGCATTTGTTAAATCAGTCGCCTCCTTAGCTACTACAGGGTGAAACCGATACGCATTGTGCTTCTCGCTGGCCAACATGAATCGAGGGGCAAATAGCTCGCGCTCACGGCATTTCATTTCCGTGCCTCTTTAAAGCCCCCTTGATAAAATTTCAGATTTGCGTGTCTTACAAGGACCGAAAACATTGTTATGCGAACGTGCGAGACACGTGACACGAGCGAGTGCTACGTCGCCACTTGCTCCTCGAGGTCGCTCATTTCAGTGCCGCGCCGCTATTTGTCTCAAAGGTTCGCACGAGCCACGGGCTTCGTGCACTGGTGTAGTTGATGCTACTTTTAAAACGCGAGTGAACAGCTCACGAAGCTTCGGAATGCCTCCTTGGAAATTATAGCTAGTGTCGGACCTGCTTGTCCAAGCTCGCAGATACGTGGCAGCGGCAAGCAATGCTGAATCACAAGAACCCTAATTATTCAGAGGCGCTAAACTCCGCGACAGGCAAACGATAATATTCAAGTTTATTGACATCACATCTAAAGCCCAAGGAGTCGTATTTTTTGCATTTAGACAACAAAATGGCTGCGCCAACACGACAATCGGGAAATAGGGTGCAGACACTCTAAAGCGTTGGGCCAGAACGTCCTGGTAGAAAACACGAGAATACTAACATTATGGTCCGCCAACCAAGAAGTGTTAGCTTCGTTTCTCTAACCTAAATAATTAACAAAATAAAAAAAGTCTACACTTTTTAATACACTTAATACCCATGCAGTACGGAGCTTGAGGCGCGTGATCAGAAACCAGTAAAGCAAAAGACGGAGAACCAGCAACAGACCAGCACCGACCTCATCTGGAATGGTCGAACCGCGCAGTTCGGCGATGGTGTTGCGAGACCTCGCGGGAGGCAGGTTCTTGGCATTCATGACCAGTCGAATCCTTAACTCCACCCCTGCAATGGAGCACATCAGAGATGACAGCTTAGAGACCATTGCGGGTTTTTCAGTAGCTCATGATGATGGGTGACATATAACTATAAAGGAGCGCGGGTTATACTTAGCAGACTACTACATTTGACCCGTTAATTTTGAGGCTGAAACGGCGTTGTGGTTATCAAGTTGCTGGTGGACTGAGGCATCGGCAGCTTATTGTATAGAAGCTAAACGGAAACAAAAAAAGTCCTTGCCGCTTTGCTGAAACCTCTGAAGGAGCTCAGCGTCTTCGACGGTTATGCAGGCCGAAGGAATCCGTCCGGTGTTTTTTCGGTACGTCATCCAGCCCGTATGGGGACTCGCGATGGAGAATGGGGTCACCGATCGAACTAGGGCGGCCACAGCACCCGCCTGGTACGCTTCCGCGGCCCCGTCCACCCGGTACTTGACCGTTGTTGAGTAGTTGCTGAAGTCCGCGTTGAACACCACGATCTTTCCCTTGGCCTGCCGAAGGGGGAGCAATGACCAGCACTGTTACAAATACTGCGTATTGCAAATGCCATAGTTCTGGCACTACAATACACTTATGCCTATAGCCTTCCTGGCTTTACTAATGTATACATGATGGGGAAAACAGCTCAGAAAACACGGACTACGAAGGGGAACACACACGGCAGGACAATGCTGTACTCGCAACTGAAGAATTTTAATAAAGGAAACAAAGACAGAAAACCATACACAGTATCTTAAAAGAGTGCACAAAAACAAAGGACCATTCTCGCCAACCGTGAAGCGTGTCAATAAACTACCCGTTCACTACGTGACTCATGTTTTGCCGCAGGAAGGAAATTTCTTCGGCTGACAGCGCCAATGACGGTTCACTTACACAGGAATGACCATGACACAGAATGTGGAAGGCCTCAATGATTTCTCTCGTCACCCTATCCTTGTGCGCTCCCAGAACGGTGACTCTGCCAAAGTCAGGCCGACACTGGCAATTAATGAACGGGCAAAAGCCCCCCAACCGTAGCTCCGAGCGAATATGAGTGTTCACGTAATCTATCATTCAGACATCTTCCTGTTTGCCCCACGTAGCACCTGTTACACCTGTCACCTTTATTAAAATTCTTCAGTTGCGAGTACAGCATTGTCCTGTCGTTTGTGTTCCTCTTCGTAGTCCGTGTTTTCTGAGCTGTTTTCCACATCATGTATAACGTCAACCAACTGGCCCAGTACTCCACCTTTTTACTAATGTAATACTATACTTGTACTGGTGCCGTGCTGGTGGTTATTATGAGCAGTTTCCCAGCTTAGCGATGTACAGTCAAACGCATCGCTTGTTGAGATTGTCATCTTATTGTTTAACTACTAGACGTGTGCAGTTAATAAAAAAAGAAAAGAAAGGCTGTTGTATAAATTCTTATATTCTAAAGACAGGTGAGCTTGGTTATGTCCTTCGTGTTTCGTTTACACAGAGGTTTTTGTTGCCTGTCAAAGCATTTAAAATAAAAAAAAAAATGTTTTGTGATCGATTAAGAATATCGCCGGAGCCCAAAATCAAGTGTATCTTTGGTTCTTAACTCTAATAAAAATTCTCTCTAGACAAAGTGAAAGAAATGCGAGAAAGGCCACCTTAGAGGCGTTGGCACGGAGTTGGTCGAAGGATCTGACCACCAGGACAGGAGCCTCGATGCCCTCCGGCGGTGTGCCGATGCTGCCTCCGAGGCCGAGCATGTTGAGCCGCTGCAAGCGTGGCTTGAGCAGCCAGGCGGATTCGTTTCCTCTCACCCAGTGGGGTACCATAGCCTCCTCGGTGTGCACAGCGTGCAGTCTTTGCCTCGAAAGCAGTTTCACCATGTAGTCGATGGAGTTCTCGAGGTTCTGCGATCCGGCGATCCTGGGACCGAATTTATCCACAAACCTGACCAGTTCCTGGTAGGTTCGATTCCGCTCCGAACCGTGCACCACATGCTTGATGATGGCATTGACGACCGGGGCATATGCACGGATCTCCGCGACAAGGTTGTCCGGAAGCTGGCTGCTGTTGCACGAGTAACGAGGAACCGGGCTCAAGGCCCATGTATGTGAAGACAGCATTCCTAGCAGCACAAGGCATTCCAGACGACTCATAGTAAAGGGCAGATACCACTCCGACTCCAGGCTTACGGAAGTGTGACGAAGTCTATAGGGACCCCAACTAATCTGATTCTTTTGACTCCAACTGCTTTATATATCTCTACGCGGTTTCAACGCGCTTGGGCAAAAGATGAGAATGCTAAGGGAGCTCCAAAAGCGAATGTTCTAAAAGAAAACCGATGTTCCTAGCAATGACATGGGTGACAAAGAAAACGCACCGGCCAATACAGTCTTCTTCTTTTTTTTTTCTTTCTCGGATTCGTCATTAGAAGTACTGTGTCATAGGGCGGTTTGAACGCTCCTTTCGTAATACGCACAATTAACTCTTTAAGCTATATTTTGTCAATAAAAACGGAAAGCCCCATGGGGCACCTCTTGGAAACTTCAGACAAGCAAAACGTTCGCGTATATCAAGTGAAGGAAGGACGAAATCATTCGTTCCGTGAAAGGCATATTATACATGAGGGAAACGCGTAAAAAGGGCATAATGAAGCCAAAGAAAGACTGGTAAGCTCGCGCACAATGAGCGCTGATTACAACGGTGCTCACGCGGTCTTCAAGAAGTGCGGTTACAGTTACGGTTACCGTTTCCTGTTGATATCGATTTCGTTTTGCTTATTTGGGGTTTTAATTTTTACTTATGTTGTACCGCAGCGAAGGCTAGAAGCGCGAGCTCACAGCGTTGGCAGCTGCCCTTAAAGGGCAACTCCGCTTCTTTTCCAGTAGTGCAAATCTATACAGTTCTCTTTGTTATCATCTACAAAACCCCCATGGCAAATGTTACGACGGAATTCCGCCTAGAAGTTCATTAAAATCGCTGTCAAAGTTTGACAAGCACGAATCCGCTGGTTTTGGATGAGACGTGCGGGCCAGACAACACTGCCCGGCTGCATTTCCGCTTCCTCCAAATTCCTTCTCTCGGCACGTCCGCGACGTCATCAAGCATGTACAGCTTCTTTTTTTTTTTTTTTTTTTCAATTTTGTTTTTTTTTCCGGGGAGAGCACGGGTGGTGCCAGCGCCGTGCTCTCCCCGGAGAGGGAAGCTGCTTTTGTATGAACTTTGAGTGACAGGTTAATCCTCTATAATCTTCTGGGGGGAAAGTAGCGACGCCTGTGCTAATCCAAGAGGCACAAAGGGGAGCTCCTTCTTCCCCTTGTATATCACGTGGGTGTACATGCTTAGTGATGCCGAATATACAATGTTGTCCGGCTTTGCCACCGTTTCGGTTTCAGTTTGTGATCATGGCTAGAGCGAAATTACAGGAAAAATATTTTATTTTTCGCGAAACAAAGGATTGGGGATTGTTTTTGAGTGCTTCAAAAAGCAAAATCGGCCACTATCTCAAAATTTTTGAAATTAAGCGGAGTTGCCCTTTAATGCACGAGAGCTTGTGCTGCTTGTGCCGCCAAGATGTGCCCTAGAGCAAGGAGCTCACGCTTGTAGCCTTTCTTGCGGTACGCCATAAGGTGAAACAGAGTATACCAATTGCACGTTTTTTTTCCTGTCTCTCCAATAATTTATTTTATACGTGGTATTCGGGCCACTTCTGGCCGCCATGACAAGGAGCCGAAAACACTTTCGGTTCGTGTTTTTTTTTTTTTTTTTTTCGTATGGCAACCTTACCGCTTTGTTTCGTGTGTTGAGGAAATAAACGCAGTAGCCGAGTTTGAGACGTTCTTTTCCCCAGTCTTTCCTCTTCAATATTGTCTCCCTGCTTTTACCACAGTCTCGGGTTTTCTACATCATAATCTAGTAACTAGGGGTGTCGCGAACCAGCCGAGGTTCGAGTTCGACCAGGTTCGACTTTTTCGAACTTTTGGTGAAAAATTAGACGAACTTTGTATTGAGGTTCGACTCGTGTGCGCATGCTCGACAGGCTGGCCAGTTGGCTTTGGATTGGATGGTGATGGCTAAGGGATGAATTTAAGGCAGTGCTGATTGGTTATTTCAGTTAATACAGTACAAAAAATTAAGTCATTAACTTCTTTAGTGATTAGAATTAGTTTCTTTTAATCGCAACTGTTTATAAAATAAAATAACCCTTTTCATAAAAAAAAAATTCTCCAAACTTAGACATGCTTGTATCAAGGTCTGGCCACACTGTCCACAAAGTCGAACCTGTCGAATCTGGTGAAAAGTTCGAAGGGTCGAACCCCGAAAGTTCGACCTAAAATTCTGGTTCGACAAAAGTTCGCGACACCCCTACTAGTAACGTTGGTTCTAGGCGAGATAGTCATCGTCATTAGTAGGGGGGTCGCGAACCAGCCGAGGTTCGAGTTCGACCAGGTTCGACTTTTTTGAACTTTTAGTGGAAAATTCGACGAACCTTGTATTGAGGTTCGACTAGTGTGCGCATGCGCGACAGGCTAACCAGTTGGCTTCGGATTGGATGGTGATGGCTAAGGGATGAATTAAGGGCAGTGCTGATTGGTTATTTTAGTTAATCCAGTACAACAAATTAAGTTATTAACTTCTTCAGTTATTAGAATCAGTTTCTTTTAATTGTAGCTGTTCACAAAATTAAAATAACCCTTTGCATAAAAAAAATTTTCCAAACCTAGACATGCTTGTATAAAGGTCTGGCCCCACTGTCCACAAAGTCGAACCAGTCGAATCTGTTGAAAAGTTTCGAAGGTTTGTCGAACCGGTTCGACCCAGTCGAACCCCGAAAGTTCGACCTAAAAATCCGGTTCGACAAAAGTTTGCGACACCCCTAGTCATTAGGGAGATTTCGTAGACCGCGTTTCCCCGTCCGCTAAATCCTCCGCAACGAAGAAGCCGCTACTGCGCCTGCGCGCCGATGGCCTTGGCTGTGGAGTTCCGGGTATGGTTGCGGGTTGCGGAGAGCGTTGCAGGACGACGAAAACGATCTACGAAAACTCCCTACGACCTGTCAAGGTTCCAGACGGGCCTTACAAACGATGCTTTGGCGACATCAACAAGGCGCCCTTTGCTAATCGTTTAATTTGAGTTGAAATTCCTTTTCGTGTCTTTTTTAACAAGATATTTGGATGTCCAATGTGATACCGCTCCTAATTGAACACGTATAGACCGAAATATAAGCGCTAAAATGTCGTTGTATCCCTTTAAAAGATCGTGTTTTTTCAAAGTGAAAAATGACATCAGGGGAAGGAATAGGCTCACACTTTGGACTGTAGAATTTGTCTCCAACTGATTATAAGCAGTCTCATAATGTCAAATGAATGCTCTGGAAGCTCGCTCCAGCACCCGCTCGGCAGCACGAAAAAAATGCTCGGCACAGTTCATTTTTAGAGTGCCCGCTCAACTAAGGCTCAACCTGCAAGCCTGCCTTCCCTAACGTCACGGTTTGAAAAGCGCGGGATTATATTTTAATGCCAGTTTTGGTATCACTTTCACTTGCCGATTTCACTATTTTGAATTTCGCGATACGAAATAGCATACCGGAAAGGGCACAGGCCAGTGATTCCGAAGATATAGTTAGTTGGGGTAGCTCAAAAGATCGCCGAAGTACACCTTTTTAATGTTAGAGAGGTTAGAAAAAAATAAACATACCTCGAATTCTACCTAAAAAAGCGCAAAAAATACAAGGACCAGGAAGTTGACAGACGAGAGCGCTCTTGTCTGTCTACTTCCTCGTCCTTGTATTTTTTGCGCTTCTTTAGGTGATCATAAACCAACTAACCCAAATTGCTACCTCAAATTTTATTTGAAATCTAAAAAAAAAAAAATGATTGCGGTCAGTGTTGCACGCAACCTGTCAGAATGTCGCAGTTCATAAAAGCTAATCACTAATTTCTCAAATTGTATTGCCACATAATGTTGCTAATCAGCATTCACCAGATTATACTTTTCGTCTTTTGCCATTCCACCACTGAGGAGTGTTCGTTAGGGTACACCAGCTGTGTTGTGGCCATACCTCGGCAAACCTCACCCTCATGAGGGCCCTCACTCACCTCATCTTCACAGGTGAGGTGAGGGTGAGCGAGTTTCTGAAAAAGAAAAATTCATGAGTGTGAGGGTGAGTGAGGGCCGTGAGGACCGTGAGTGCGTGAGGGCGGTGAGTGCGTGAGGGCGGTGAGTGCGTGAAGGGTGTGAGGGCCATGAGTGGCGTAAAGGCGGTCAGTGGCGCGAGGGCCAAGAGTGCATGAGAGGTATGAGGGCCAAGAGGGCGTCAGTGCGTGAGGGGCGTGAGGGCGGTGAGTGTGTGAGTGGCACGAGTGCGTGAGGGGCGTGAGGGCCATGAGGGCGTGAGGCCCCCTTCAAACGGAGCAACTTTCTCAGCAATTTTGGTGTTGCTGGCGGGTTGTTCCCTAGCTTTCCCTAGATCGACACGAATTGCTGAGATCAGGTCCGGCTTGAAACCTTTAAAGTGGCTGCATCCCAATCAGGGACGCGATATTTTCACGCGATACCTTAGGCCGGTGATGATGACGAGAGACTTGGTTCTGGTTTGAAATTTATCCTTTTTGCAAATAAACGTGAAATTAATCATTTTTGGAAAAAAAAAAAAATAGTGCGTGAGGGGCGTGAGTGCCATGGAGAGAGTGAGCGGTGGTGAGAAGCGCACTCAACAGAACTAAACTGACCAGAGAGAGTAGACAAGACACACTGCTCCGAGAACAGGGTCATATGTTTGATACGAAGATCATATCAAATCACACACTAACTGATACCCGCAAGTTTTGAAAATTCGTGCAAATCTACCGTAACAATCGGGCAAGTAGCGACGCCTCCACTATTAATTTCTGTATTCACTAAGTGATATGGGCTCTCAGGTAAGCCCTTTGGTGCGACTCTCAGATCCTTTGAGGTTTAAACACATTTTCGAGGTTTTCGTTCCCACCTTATCGGCTGCATCTTACCACTAAAACTAAAATCTACACACCCTAACGACTGTACCTTCCCGTCAACAGCCGATAATAAAAAAAAATTGCTTTTTGCATTTTTAAAGCGCATGGAGCCTTTTTCCAAATGCGAGTTAGTTAGAAGTGTTCAGTGATGCGACCAAGTCTGTAATTAAAACTATACTTCTAAATTTTTCAAGATTGTAAATATTAATGCTATCTAAACACAATTCTGCACATTGTGCACCCGAGAAAATAGCCCCCCTCGGAGCACAGTGGAGGCTACGAGCCGATGGCTCCAATCAAGAAACGCCAGAGGCACAACGTCACGGCTTTCAGCATCTTTCTTTGGGTCTTTTCAGCAGCTAACCCAATTAACCTAGGGAGCAAACCGTGTCAATGCTCTTTTAGTATGTGTGTATGCATTTAGGTGCCTTTTAGACTTCCACTGAGCACTGACTTATGATTAAACCTTTACTTGGTGACAGGTTAAGAGTTCAGTACAAACTCCTCCCACCTTAGCAGAGCAAATGTTGGAGAGGAGGTTGTCTCCCCTCCAGCACTCGCTCTGCTAAAGCGGAAAGAGCTGGGAGGAGCTTCTCCTGAACTTTTAGCCCGTCACCGAATACTATAGCGTAAAAATGCAGTCTATCCTGGGACTGTTATAATAGCGACAACTGAAAAAAAAAAAAAAAGTAAAACAAAAAAAGTGTTTACGCCAGAAAGAAAGGGAGATGTCACTACCTTTCTTGTTCAGGAGCCTTACAATCAACAGGTCGCGATTTCGATTTCCTAAGTGCTTCCTTTGAAAATTGAAAAAAGACTTCAAGTAAGCTGTATGTGTGGCAGGGAACACCAACAGGAAAAGTTACATAACGCCGATAAATATTTTTGCGAAAATCCCATAACGCCATGCACAAAGTCCTGTATGCTTCTCCTTGCCCCCACAGCGTCTACCGCATGACAGTGAAGAGAGCAATAGTGAGAGAGAGAGGGACAAGCATGGTTGCTTGTCCGCTCTTCCGAGTTTGAAGGACACTGCTGGAACACCCTTGATTGTGTTATTTATCGTTCCTAAAATGTTAGCTCTGGAACAAAAAGAAAGCAACAAAAACCTCCGACGCATAAATATATTTACTACTGTGTTCTAGTTAATTGACCTACAGAATTTGATGTACTATTTTAAGTGGTCTTTCCCAAGGTGGATTTGTTGAGCAAATTTTCCAGTTTGTAACCGAAAAAGGCCACTGTGAGTAGAACTAGTAGAAGTTCCGTTCTGATTCATAAGAAAATTGAAGACAAGTGCTACAGAAAGTCTAAAAAATTTATTTACAGGCCTATATACAGACACAACAAAGAGCTCATTGCTTGGGCTTTGCTGAAGTTGTGTTGTCTTCTGAATCACTTTCCATCTCCTGATCCTGATGAAAGAAATAAAAAAAAAGAACAAAGAAAGGGGACATTCATAAAATATAATGAAATGTGAACATGTAAGTGCATATATTGCCTGAGTAAAGTAACTCTCCCGATCATGTCAAAGAAACGCTCAAGATTTTGTGTCCTACGAAACAATTCCTGTGTTCAGCATAGTTGTAACAGCAGATCACGAAAAGTCAGATGTTATAAGCAAATTGAACTAGGTACATAGCCAGGGTTTACTTGCAAATTAACAACAAAAATACTGTAGTAACAGTGATTATCTATTGTCTATTTGTTATGCAGCTGTAGACACCACCAGTAAAACTCATCACATTCCTGAAGAAACAATAATGTGAATTGTTTCATGTCTGCTTCCACTTTCGACGGCACTTCAGAATGGGGCTACTCTTTCTTAGCAGAGCGAGTTGTATCTAGTGCTTGCCAAAGAGCAGCTCTCATCTCAGAAGACTACAGGAAGGATGGTCACATATCTTTTGACCCCAACAAGGAACTGTTGATCTCTATTTAGTGGCTAAAAGGGCTTGGAACTAGCATTGCTAGAACTTAGGTGACTAAATACTGCCGCAACCAAATCCCCTTATGTATGGATCCTTCTTTGCTTCCTTCTAGGCCAGTGATCCCAGCAGAGCGGCTCTGAGCCCTAGTCCCGGTATGGGCCCACTGAAGCTGGGTTACAACCCCATGATACAGATGACAATATAAGGAACAAGAGCAGTGCAGAGTCCTACTTTTGGCAATGGTGCAAGGCACAGGGCTGAATAGCCCTCTTTTTAATACTGACTGTATCGGTAGACTTTCATGTAATAATAATTTAGAATTGCATGTTAAAAACACTGAGGTAGCAGGTACAGTGCACTGACCAAACTACCCCTCTACAGCAGTGAAGGCCTTATATCTCAAGGAAGAATGACCTCACAAACTAGCATCAAAGCTTTGACAAATTTGAGCAAAGCAGAACATACCTGTTGAGCGGCAGCTTCTTCCACAGGCCTTGTTTCCTCCGCAGCAGAGGTTGCGGAAGGCTGTTGAGAACTCACTTCATGATGCGCAGCTACACCTTCCTCGGGCTTCTCAGACTGCTCCTCGTGAATGGTTTTGTCGGCTTCATCGGCCTTGGAATCACTTGCCGGTTTGGCCTCCGAGGAAGCAACCATGGCTGGCTGTCTCTCCTTTGCCGGCGCTGCCAGGGCAGGCTTCTCGTAGACGGCCTTGTGGGCCCTCAGCTGTGCTGTAAGGGCCTCGACGCGTTGCTGGTAGAAGTCAAAGACAAACTGCGCCATCTGAGTCATGCCGGTCACCACAAAGGGCTCTCCTTGCGGGGGAACGCTGTTGGGCCGCATTGTGGGATGGGCCTGCACATCCAGAATTGTATACACAACACAAGGTGTCAGTTGCACTCGAGGTGACAAAGGCAATGAAGGACGGCTTTGGGCACGACACATATACACGTTTGCAAGAGAGGCTCCTGTGCACTGCCATTTTGAGCGATGCTGGCACCGCGTAACGTTTCTGCGATGCTGGGGTTCACCAGGGGCATGTCATCGGGGTACGCAATGACAAGATCGCGGCATCTGGTGTATCGCTGACGGCCCAGCATTAGTGACACACTAACTGTTTTGGGACGCAGGAGGAGGTATCCACACAGAATCGTAGCATCAAATATTGTAGGATGGGGCATCTTTAAGGGTTGGAGCTGACTTCATAATGATCGCAGCCTCTATTTCAGCACATCGTAGAAGCCAGAGCTGCCACACGCCCGTTATTAGATTAGTCACCCACTCACTCACTCACCACGACTCGCCAAGCGTCGCTCGACGCGCCGCCAGACGGCTGCTTTGGTAACTGAATCAGGAGACGTACGTTTCAACGTACTAGAAACGTAAAAAACAACGGGAAAAAACTCTTTTGGTAGTAACTTTTCTTGGAGTTTAGTACAAAATGAGGGGCGCGTGATGTTTCCTAAAATCTTTAGTTTGCAAGGTTTTGCGGTACAATTAATATTGTTTTAATACAACCATGCCTCAGCAAGGATTTCAGGTAGCGCGTCCCGACCTAGGCTCATCTTAACTTCAAGGCAAATTCGCGGCGCGTCTGCTGGGGAGACGGGGTGGCTTCCCTGTACCTCTTTCCACTGTATCTGTTTTGGCTCCGAAATGGCCGATTGAAGCCAAAATAGATGTTAGGTGTGGTTCCTCGAGTGATTGCTGCAGGATTAATGGCGGCATTGTGATCGCCTTTAGGCAGTTCAGCTGGGCTCTTTGGAACGCATAGTTATGAAACAAAAATATAGATGGCGCTTCGAACGACACTTGGCGGACTGAAGGGAGTGAGGGGGGGTACCCCCCTCCGCGGGAGTTCCATAACTGAGGTAATCTAATAACGCTACACACGCCCAGCCATCGTTGATGCAATGGCCGTGCGGCTTCTGGCGCATTCTGATGAGCGCTTTGAGCTTCAGATATTTTTCGATTTGTTACTGGTTTAGGTATTTTATTTAATTGTTTGTGCTTTTTGCGGTCGAAGACAACACCTGTTACATTTTAAAATTATTTTTTAAATTTCTTTCTGCGCTTAGTGGTGTATGCTTCAGTAAGAGATGCTTGGCAACATTGTACGATAAGCAGCAAACATCCTGGCCGGAGAGTAGGTCTGCCTCACCTCGGCATGCGGTTCGAGGTTAAACCGGGATCTCACTTGCAAAGGTGTATACAAAATGTAAGATCACCAATTTCGTCTACATTTCTATAATGGCTACAACACTCCCGTCAAAACTACCGGGATGCTGGAGTCCACTAATGTGCCTTCTCAATTCCAGTGGCAATTTTTCTGCATTCAACACTAATCTGTGTAAGCTAACGGTGCTACACAATACATCCTTTAAGTGAAGTACAGTGATGTCTCATTAATATTGTCACAGATAATGATGACTAAGAGTCTTATGATGCAAAAGGCAACCTTGGCCAAAGAGCGTCAAGCTCTTTGGCCAAAGTTCTCGTGTGCTATATCGGAGGACGCTTCCTCTCCCTCTCTTTGCTGACATTTGCGGGCGTTATGCTGCAGCTTATAGCCGAGTGAGGTCACGTAATCTTTTCGCCGTAGTTCCTTCGGCTGCCACTTGGGGCTGCAGGTGGGGGAAAAAGCTCGACTTCTGCTTTGCAATTATGCAGCGGAATCGTGACATTTTTAATGAAGTAGGTGTTTTCTCTATCCTCCGGGACATGATAAACAACGTAAAAATGACGAGATGCAAATTCTTTTAATCATAAAATCGTTGCACCACCCTTTAAAAACACATGCAAAGGAAATTTTTTTTTTCTTTTTTAAGCAGCCTAGATGGAAAAAGAATGTTATAAAACAAATTTGCAACGAAGAAAAAAAACTTTTTAGAGCTATTGTGGCGCAAAACAAATTTGTAGTTGGCACCTGCAGGAGTCACCGCGGGTCACGTTGTAGACCTGTGCGCCGTCGTGCGGCGCCGCTGCCGCCTCAAAGTCACGCACCGCTGCACGCTGAGCATGGTGCGCCGTAGGTTCAACGCGTTTCTCCACGCTGCTGCCGCCGCCGCCGCGCAAGTTTGCTCGGATTGCCGCCGCCATCATCCGACTGGTGCACAGGTCTATCACATCTGCTTGCGCTTTCCGAGGAGCTTCCTTTGGGCTCTACAAGTTCCCTATTAATCTTCGTTTTTTGTTGCACTTCGAACAAAGATGAACAAGTAATTTTTAGAGACCATAGGAAGCTTCTGAAAGAGCGCAGGTACCACATGACAAATAGCGGCCAGTCACGTGATAAAGAGCAACCACTTTTCTGCACCGCCCGCGGACGCGAAGTGCAAATTTGTATAGCGTTGTAAATATAGCTCTAAAAATTTTTATTTTCCGTTGTGAATTCGTTTTATTACTTCCTTTTCCCAACCAGGCTGTTTAAAAAAAATGTTTTTTCCTTTGCACGTGTCTTCTAAGTTAAATGCAATCAATTGCTAACAAGAATGCGTACAGTTCTGCTGCAAAGATACTGGCTATTGAATTAAGGCATTCGACTCTAGAAATATTCTCCGAGTGCATGGCACATCCAGCAAATGATAGAGCCTCAGCACCACCTGTGTAAAACTGGGAATAATCAGAATATTTTGCCTGTAATCTTTGAAATTCTTGAAGGATGATGGTCGGATTGACAGTGTGCTTATTAAATTTTGTAAGAGACCAGTCGCAACAAACTGGCAGTCTCTCCCAGGGGGCAATACAGTGAACTGGCTGAAGGAGTGTCACTCTATTGAGGGGGATCAGAAGAGACGTGTGATGTTCCGCGAGTCGGAGACTTAATGGCCGCACGATGCTGGATTTGTTTTCGAAAAAGCTGGAAAACCTTGAATGTTTTATGGCAGAATATGTTGGATGGTGAGGGTTAGCTAAAACCTTGTAGGCATATGTCATGTTAAAATATTGCCGTCTTTTATCCAATGAAAACTCATTAGATTCTGCATACAAACTCAAAACTGGGTATGTACGGAAAGCACTCATGGCAAGATGTAAACCGAGATAGTGATCCGGGTCCAACATTTTAAAAGCTGATGGTCTCGCTAATCCATATACTATGGCCCCATAGTCAAGATGCAATCGCACAAGAGAATTGTACAGGCTAAGAAGACACATTCTATCCGATCCCCAGGACCTGTGGACTAAAACTTCCTAAAATGTTCATACTTCAAACACATTTTTCTTTAAGAGACTTCAGGTGAGATATAAAGGCGAGTTTCTTATAAAAAATGACGCCCAAAAATTTATGCTTCGTTCTAACAGGCAAGTGTGTTGCTTTAAGTTTAACCTCGCTTCAGAGGAAGCGAGGTTAAACTTAAATTACATAAGGAAAATAGCACACATACCTTTTTTTCTAAAGAGAACTTAAAACCATTTTCGTTTGCCCAAGTACCTAGTTTATTTAGTGCTAACTGAAGCTGGTGTTCACAGCTGGAGGTATTACAAGAGGAACAGATCTGAAGATTGTCTACATACAATGAATATGAGATTGACGTTGGTAGGACCCTGGCAATGAAGTTTATCTTGACTGCAAACAATACAACCCTTAGGATACACCTTGGGGAACTCCATTTCCCTGAACAAAGAAATCACCAGAGTACAGCCCAGTCTAACCTGGAATGTCCTGTCTGTCAGAAAGTTTTTCATACAACTCAGCATACGACCCCAAATACCATAGCTGTAAAGATCCTTAAGCATTTCAAACCGCCACATGGTGTCATATGCTCCGAGTCAAAGAAGAGAGAAATGCAATTATATTTATGCACAAATGCTTCACGAATAAGTGTCTTCAGGCGGACCAGGTGGTCCACTGCAGATTGTTTTTGACGAAAGCTGCACTGGTTATTTGCCGACAAATTTTCTAATGGGTACATTAACCGTCTCTTAATGAGACTCTTGTATGTTTTTGCCACGCAGCTAGTGAGTGCAATAGGTCGGTAAATGGAAGGAAATGCTGCGTCTTCGCCAGGTTTCAGAAGCGGCACAATATGAGCTCGAGTCCACGCCTGAGGGAAATATGCCTTCTCCCACAGGAGTTGAAAAAAAGGAGGTTTCTGAGTGACTCATGCGAGAGCTTCCGAAGCATGGCATAGTGCAGTGCATCAGGCCCTGGCATGGACATTTTTACATCAAGAGCCTGTTTGAGCTCACTTACTCTAAAAGGCCCATTAGGTATGTGGCTCTGAGTTAGCCCCCGACATAGGAATAGTGCAACTCTCTGTGCGAGAATTAAATTGTTGGAATTCTGCAGAGCTGGATACGCTGTCGAAATGCTGAGCTAGAACATTAGCAACATCTTTGATGGACCCCAGAGGCAAGTTAAATACTGGGATGGTGAAACAGCAGTAGTGGCCTTTGACCTTTTGTATGCGATCCCAAACCTTTTTAGCCACAACAAAACTACTTATAGAAGGGAGATATTTAACAAGAAAACTCGAGTTCAAAACGGCGTCATCTACATTTAAAGAAAAAATATGTCATCAAGAGCCGTGCTGCGGAAGCAAGGTCAGCAAAACAAATATATGCTTAATTTTGCTCTGTGATCTTGACTTTTTAACGCAAGCACCGTTTTATGAAAATTATGTGGTTATGCAGGTGCTGTGTGAAGTCAATTAGCCTGCATGCACAATGACAATCGTTACCCAGGGCAGGTGAGAAATTTAGCCAGTGAAGTAGGACTGCTAGCACGCGGTACTGATACATGACCGCACGCCAATGCGACACTCATCCAGATCAAAACAGCAAACTACCGACGCCGAACACCCGAACAACTAAGTTGAAGAGGAGAAAGACAGCAAAGGCAAATCAAAAGACGATAAAAGAAACGACAAAACATACAATAGGCGGCTCGCTGTTTCTAGAAAACGCACATATATAAAAAAAAATTAAATTTCTTCAAGCAGCGTTTAGGGCACTGGGCGACTGGGGCCGCAGTGCCGTGCTCGTTGCAGCTTCGCCTCTTGGTGCCTTTAGACCTCAACTCTTGGTGCCTCCAGACCTTGCCACAGCAGAACAAAAGCGCTGACAGCCATCAACTTTTTGTTTTTATTTTGATGTTTAAGTCTGCCTTCTCCTTTTTTGAGGAATATTGCTTAAAGGGACACTGACAGGGTATTTATGCTCGCTGAGGTTTTTAGTTTTACGTGACATATGAGAGCTCAACTACCCAGAACAGAATTTGCGGCTCGAAATTCGGTTTCTTTCCGCCCGAAAACCGCCGATCAAGAACTGGCCGGTTCGAGTCTCGCTCACTCTCTTTTTCGCGGTCACGGGCCGTTTTCTAAGGTATCGATGCGACCACCAAATTTAATCAAAGTCGTGGGTCACTGAAGGCACACACTCATTATTAAAAATAGAAAAAAATATGAAACCCATTTTTTGTGGCTTCTAAAAAGCTGTAAATACGTTGATTAAAAAAAAAAGTTCCACAGACAACCGGAAGCATTCTGTGCGTTCGTCATTTCGCGTATCGTGGGACTCGCGGGGACGGCGATGGCAGCGGACGACGGGCGTGGGACCTCTATTTCAGAACTGTCGTTCGCGGTACCGGCGAATTCTGTCTACCGTTAAAAGAGAAATTTGGGAGTGATCAAAAGAATTGGTATTCATCCCGTACGACACGCCCGGCCACCAAGCCGATTTGCACGAAGACGTCGCCGAGCCGTTGATCCCTTCTCGTGGCTGAAGACATCGCTCGCGCAAACGTCAAGCACGACGTGTCTACTTCGAGTTCAATATGCACGCGTACGATTTCTTTACTAGGTGCGAATGTCCCCAAAGCGTGGTGCTTCCCGACTTCGACCCAGGAGTGCTTTTGCTAGAGAAAAATCGACAGCAAACTTTCCAACTTACAGTTTACCGGCTGAATTGTTACTAGGGAAAGAGATCCTCCAGAAAAGCGATGCGCCAGTAGCTCAGTGGGAAAGACGTCCGGTTTACACGCGGTAGCACCGGGTTCGATCCCCCGTGGAACTTTTCTTCAAACATTTTTCGATGTTTACATATATATATATATTTTTACAATCATCACTGAAGAAACAAACAAAAAAATAACGAACTAATGTTGTGGACGATACTTCGCTGATTTAAATGGTATGGGATTTCCGTTTTGACACCTGCGAGCTCAATGTAATCACTTTCCACAAAATGCAAGGAGCATATAAATCAGGTAACGTCCGCTTTCCGAGGTGCCGGTATATGTTCTACAGGAATTGCAGCCAGCCGTTGGTCCCGATCCCGTTGATCTTTCGGAAACTCTGTCGCACAATGCCACTTTTTTTCGGATTCAGGAAATGTGAGCCAGCTCTTCACGCAACATCTTGGGTGTATTCTTTTCGGAGCCGATCATGGAAATTCACCACGGGCACTTACTACTCATGTCCAACTCCTCAATGTACAAAACAACTCATTTTGGAGTACAGAACAACGAGCGGAACAAACATAACTGCAAAAAAATCGCACGGCGAGCAGTTCCCGCACGCCCCATCGCACGCCGCATGTCCTGTCGTCTGCTACCGAAGAGGAGAAAAAAAAAAAAAAAAAAAGAAAAAACGCACGGTAGGGTGTAGCCACGTGACTTCCGCCACTCACTCTCTTCTCTCCACTTCTCCGACCTCCGTCGGGTTTCGGTTTCGGTTTCGAGGAGTTGCGTCTTTTGGCTTTATTAAAAAAATACGCTACTCTGTTGCAAAATATTAATTGGGTAGTCCTCCGACACCATAATGAAGCGCCTGGCAAAAAATAAAATTTTTTTTTTTGGGGGGTGTCAGTGTCCCTTTAAAGGGGCCCTGCAACAACTTTTTGACTGATTTTTAATTTGCACCGATCCTGAGCGCACTGAACATAGTAACTTAATGAAACCTTTCTTTTCTCAAATTTCGCTTTATTTTAAAAGTTATAGGCAAATTAGAATTACAAAAACAAGCAAAAAATAACGTCCTTCATGACGTTGTAGGTCCTGGCTTAAGTGGCCATGAACTAGAGGAGTGATAGTGAGCTCATCCAGTGCTCACAGCTGCCGCACTCCGTGTCGATAGCTCGAGAGGGCGCTACTAAAGCACGTGTTGGATAGGCTGTATGAAGCGGGCGGCCAGGGCGGCTCACATTGCATTTGCTGCACGATTAAAGACTAATTCGGCATAACACTTCATTGGCCACAAACGACAGCGAACACAGGGTAAATATCGGTTCAAAACGGAAGCCACTTCGCGCTGCCATACCACCAAATGGCAAAATCACCAGCCAAGCCCGTGCCGAAAGCCTTCGGAACGCTCGGAACCGGTCAGATCCTAGAGCCGGTTTACGACCGCAGCGCCGCCGCGTACATCCGGGACCTTTCTACGCACGCCGTTCGTCAACACCTCGTCCCACTAACCCCTTCTAGTATGCACCGTTTTTTTCGCCGCTTGGTGGTGGGTATGTTGATGGGGCATCTCTTGTTTCCGTACCTTTATAAACTGCATTTGTTTCTTTTCTGACCTAAAATACTGAACAAAAACTATTTTCATACATAATTGAAACGGTTTGTGACACTTATATTTTGTATCTCGACTAAAAAAGAGATTTTAGCGGTTGCGACCGGTAGTAAGCCCAGGACCAAAGACGTCACATATCGCGCGCTTTCGCCAACGCGGGTCGCCCTTGTAGGTGAAGGAGGTTTCCGCGTCAATCGGTTAAAATATGACGCACTGATATTTAGTTACTCTCTCCGCGCCCGCTGGCTCGTCCGAACCCCAAGAGACCTGGAAACCGCAAAAAAAGATAAACGCTTAAATATGATTGCAGGGCCCCTTTAACAGCAAGAAAAGAAAATACACAGATGCACACAAATAGCACTTTAGTGTTTCGGCATTGGCAGATATATTCCGTTTTGCAGCTATGGACGCCACGACCTATGTGAGCCAATCCATAGTTTATAGCTTGTCTCGCGACGTTGCGCTCGCCACTAAATTTAGCGTGTTAAGTTTCCCCGCTGAATTTAGCGGGGAAATTGATGTCACGTGACCTCAGCTTCGTGCGACGTCACCCATGGACAAATTCAGTGGCAGGAAGAGAGGAGGAGGGTAGGATGTTGTTGATTACGGGCTTTATGGCGCAAAGCTACTATGGCCATGCTGCGCCAAGGAGGTGGGTAGGAGGAGGAGGGAAGAGGATGAGAAGGGAGAAGAGGATGAGGAGAAGGGGCAAAGGAGAAACATACCCTTCCCTCCGTATCCTCCCCTCCTCCTCCTTAAGAGCAGCACTCTAGTTTCGCATTACAAAGATTCGTAAACGTTTTTCCTTTTTTTTTTTCTTCACTTTTTTAAAAAATTTTCTTCTCAAAATTTCTGTTAGTGCTTTTTATAGGTCGTTTCAACTTATATGCATTTGTCTGGGTAAATATGGACCTTAACTTCGGAAACTTAACACGAGGGTTTTATTTCCCATTCGACTGATTGACAAAAATATTGAAACTCGCTCTCGCTTGTGCATATATCGCAATCACAATATGCGTATGCAGTCTTTTCAATGCAGTTTCGCCGCACCGAACGTACAAGTATTTATGAGGTTACACGCAGGTGGAACTTACAAAAACAGTTGTTTATAGCGGGGTGGGGGGGGGGTGCGATCTATACAAGGGTGCAACTTGTAGACTGGAAAACAAGGTGTTCGCCAATCCAATACTCCCACTAAATTTAGAGTGGAACCTGCGTGTAATATTCTCGCATTACACTTTCGTGTTACACTTCTTTAAAACAACTTTTTACAAAACCCTAGACCCATATAAAAAAAAAAGAAGGGGGATTAATGGCTAACGCACACCAGCTCTTTCAATCTGAATGAGCATCAAACCGTCGTGGGGTCATGTATCACTACTGCGTGATGCACACTAAAAATCTCAGGCTAGCTAGCGGTTGCACTGCACTGACTAAATTTCTCATTTACAGCTGGGAGCCAAGTTGCCCGTTGAGGCAGACTAAGTTCTAGGCTGTATAAACATACAGACAACCGAGTTTTTTCTGCATAGAAGTTCAAGAAACCCCAGTTCACAACATTGAAACTGTCTAACCTCCCCCCCTTTTTGCCACCCACCTCCCATGGAGCCAGCCAGAGCTGGGTGGGCCGCTGCAGCAGCAGACTGAAGGTGGGGCCCAGCTCGAAGCAGTCCCGGAAGAGCGCCGTCCGGGCAAATACGTAGAGGCCTAGGCGGGCCCTGGACATGGCCACCACCAGGCGCCTGACGTCACGCAGGTGCCCCACGGCACGGGTGCGCACGAGCGAGAGGAGGACGTAGTCGTTTTGCTGGCCCTGATACTTGTCCACGGTGGTGACCTTGAGCGGGCAGCCCACCAGCGGGTTGTCCTGGCAGCGCTGGCGCACCACGTCCCGGATCAGGTGCTTCTGGCCATTGTAGGTCGTCAGGATCGAGATGCGCTCCGCCGGGTAACCCAGTAGGCGCATGTACGTGAACACGGCCACCACATACTCCGCCTCTGCCAGGTTCTGCAGACGGTGAAAGGAGAGAAGACCGATCGGGATCCTCGTCCGTCTCGAAGTCGCACAAACGCAAACTCGTCGTCGGGCTCGTTTGATTTACCTGCACCGGCTCGCACCAGTGCGGAAAAGTGTAGCGCGGTGCAGAAAAGTGGAGGGCAACATATGTTTGGTTGTTCTTAGATACGCTGTGCTCGTGAATCGAATACGGCGGTATGAACCGAGCGCAGTAGGTGCAGGAGGTGTGGCTAAATCGAAAACAGCAAATATTGTACTCAATGATCTATAAAGGCCGACTGGTAATCCTGGAACTTGGTACTACTGCACCCACACTTGTGCAGTAGAAGCCACGAAGAAAGATAATAGACTGCACTAGGATCGCTGGTATTCAACGCAATTAAACTACTTAAACGTCACAGATGTAGCTCCATACTGCTGTTCGACGTTGGTCATCCAGATTACAGTTACTTAGATGGATGCCAGCGTGCCCCCTATAGGTAGTGAAAGTTGCGAATAAAGCGAAGTGGATGTCCACAAATAAGCCAAGTTTAACTACGGTGATAAAAGAGTTTAGTGACAGCGGACAGGAAAGCGCTTAGAAGACAGAGAGATTATATACAAAAAGGAAGTAATTAATAGGTGACCTCCTGGGCAAAATGAGGCTCCTAATATTGCCCTCTCCTCTTTGCTGAAAAAAAATGAGCCGATCCAGCTCAAGGATTAAAGGAAGGATGCAGGTATGTTGCAGTTGAGATATTTCTAAAAACAAAGAAGCTGCCGAAGGGAGGCGAACACGCAGCTTCGGCATTAACACTCACCTGATAGAAGTAAGGATTGGGCTCGGACTCCCCAACCCCATTGAAGTCGCCCACGTCTATGAGCTGATAGTCGAAGCAGAATCCGGCATTTCCCGTGCGGTATTCCGGCCACTCGATGACGTGCGGCAGGTTACCCAGATCCTTGTAGCGCCAATTGTAGAGGTCGCACAGGCTTGGCCTTGACCTCCCTTGTCCGTCCAACTGAACCACGGGGACACCGAGGCGGACAAAGCGCGTGAACAGCGACTGTTCCATGTTGCAGTACTTCTGGAAGGCCATGTTCTTGACGACGGGTGGGAGCTGGTGGTGGTCGCCGATCATGATCCAGCGCTTGAGACGGTTGTAGCCGTCCTGAGGGGTCTGCAGGAGCAGCGGTATGAAGGTCTCAATCTCCAGGATCTGTGCCGACTCCTCCATGAGGATGTTGTCATACTTGAAGCCTAGTTCCACCAGTTCCCGGCGCTTGAGGGCAGCGTGGGTGCAGGTCATGGCAATGACCTTGGCCTCCTTGACCAAGAGGTACCGCGACCGATCAAGGCCGCTGCGGAGCAGTTCGAAGGCCCGGAACTCGTCGAGTTGGGCGAATATGTCCTTGATGTAGCGGAAACAGCTCTCTGCCTTCTCCATGTCGGCCTCAAAGGAGATGCCGTGGAAGAGCGGCTGAGGCGCGTTGCTGAAGAACTTGCCGAATGGGAAGTGCTCCTGGATGCTTTGTGGCGTCTGCTTGCTGTTAGCACTCAGCTTCACCCGGCTGAGAAACTCTTCCCAGCGCGACAAAACCTGAAATAAAGTACAACTTGCATGAGACATCAAGCACATTATTTGAGGATAGTCAAAAGTACATTTGAGCTCAAGTGCACACAATGAAATAAGCCCCTATAAGCCCCAATGATAAGAAGGTATGTTAATGCATAAAGCATCAAACAATGTCTAGAGAACTTGTCCTAATAAAAAGGAGAGAATGAATGTAGTGGCCATTCTTTGCAATCATTAAAGATTTAGGAGAGAATATCTGCTGAGCAACATGCTTGCAGTCCTATAACAATCATCTTGAACGTGCGGGATTTTAATTACATTTGCTAAAACCGTGCCAAACAAGCACTAACTGTCAATCCTGAAATGCCTGCAGGGAACAGGATGTGACAATTTAAATGAACTTGGCGACTAAATAGCCACCTCCTGCCATCTTAAATAGTTGGTGCTCTCTAAAAGCCCATTCACACAGTTGCAACCTCTTAGAACCTGGTGCCTTGGAACCTCTTAATATCTCTTACAACGAGAGGACACACTGGCACCATCTATTGGGTAGCAGTGTAAACTTGGCGGTTCAGCATATTTGCTATTTCTCTTGCACATTATCCTTTCTTTCTTGGCTCGAAAAACTTTTGTCAACATTATAAACGAGCCTTTCTTATTAAGTATTACGCATATTTGATCTCGGAAATCCCAAAAAACCGTCGCTCTTGTGAAATGCAGCTCCAGGGTCACTGCATAGATGGCGCCAGAGTGCCAGTGTGTTCTCTCGTTCTAAAACATTTTGAGAGGTTTGAACAGCTCTCGTCTCTGTTGGTGGTACTCGGTTGCAAGGGTGTGGACGGGCCTTAAGAAAAGAACTGCCACGCGACTAGTCAGGCACACCATCAGTTCTGCAACTGAGTAACAAAGTACAATTACCTGATACAAGTAGAAGTAGCCAGCAGTCTCACAAGTATACGAAACATCTCCTGTGACTCCCAGGCTCTCCTGCAGACGGCTGACCTCCTCGAGGAGCTGCAGTCTTTTGCCCAGGACGTAGTTGACCCTTCCGTAGCGGCTGAAGTCCTTCTCTGTCTCCAGTGCCTCCTCCCCATGGCCTAGACGCAGTAGATGCCGCTCGTCCATGTCCAGCATCATGATCTTCTCAAAGAGCTGGTTGAGGGCCTGGTTGGAGTGCGTCACCAGCAGCGTCCGCTGGTCCGGGAAGTTGTGGTACAGGTTCGAGATTATCTGCACGGCCACGTCCGTCTTTCCCGTTCCAGGAGGGCCCACGATGATGGTCAAGCCCGGCTGCATTCCAGCTCGGATTGCCTCCACTTGCGTTGGCGTGAAGGGCACCGCATTCTTCTTGGCCCTCTCGCTTGGGTATGGGCCCCTGCTCTTCGCGACGTGAGGAGTCACCAGAATCTTTTCCTTACTGCGGGTTTCTTCGGCCTCCAGTTTGTCCTTTGGCTTCTTTGACTTTGCAGCCACCTGCTGCTGCTTCACGTCGCAGAATGTCACCTTGAACGGCGGTTCGAGTTTCCGGGGGTCGTCAACGTCAACATGGATGTCGCATTTTTCGCCGAAGCTCGCCCTCAGGTGATCCATGTTCAGGAATGTGTCGTTGAAGTTGAGCGTCGCTATCTGGTTGCTCATCTTGGAGTAGTGCGCCGCACCCGGATCGCCGTAGCCGAGGATGATGTCGTGCAGCCAGTCGGGCACCACACACTCCGTGTTCATCAGGTCCCGTATCGTCTCGAGCACCGCTTTAAAATTGTTCTCTTTCGGCTTCCTCCGCATAAGGATGTTGAACGTTTCGTAGACGTCCTCGGTCCCTTTCACATTCCGGTCCATGTCCAGCTTGTACTGATTGCAGTCCATCCAGACACGGTAGGTCCTCGAGTCTCCGGGAAGCACTGGCTTTGGCTCTGGCCCTTCCTCGATGACTCTGCCGTTCAGGTCCAGCAGCCCCTCGATCTCGCAGCCCCGGACGTATGTTAGCCCGACCTGCGGGACAAACGGTTCCTTGTAGTTGTAGGGAGTTCCAGGGGTGCAGACGGGCCGCACGGTGATCAAGAAGCAGACGTCATGTTTCCTCAGCGCTTCCCACTCGGCCTTGATCTCCCTTCGGACGTTGAGGTGAACCGTCACGTCGGCTCGCACCTTTGACGGCTGCTTTTCGCCGATGTTAGGCTTCCCGACTTCAACGATTGCAAAGTTGACGATGGCCTGCGCCATCCTCGCCCAGCCCCCAAACATGACACCACCGTCCTCCGTCTGCCAGGGCTTGAGACGGCTAATCGCGTCCTCGATGTCCTGACGGATCTCGTAGGTCGACTCGAGTCGGAACAGGTGGAAGTTACGGAGAAGGTAATCGTGAAGCGTCAAAAACTGGAGGTTCAGCTTGGGTAACGCCAGGCACCCTTCTCCGGAGAAGTACTCCGAAGGCACAACATTCTCGTCCCAGATGATTGTCTCGGTCGGGTAGAGTGGCATCTCGTTGAGGCTGTCCAGCTGCGACTGGCGCTTCTCATGCCGCGAAATGAGCAGTTCCTTGAGGAACGAGTGGCTGTACGGGGAGCCCTCACTGTCGGACTTTGGGGCGGGCACGAGAAAGAGGGAAGCGGCGATCGCGTGCAGGTCCTTCGTCTGCAGAGTGCCAAAGTGATTCAGCAACTTTTCCCGTGTGTCTACGTTGGCGACGTTGCACAGCGCGAAGCGCCGGAGGTCGGGAAAGCCCTTGAAGGCTGCCTTCTGGAGAGCCGTGATGCTGTCGTAGTGGATCTGCATCATGTCGTGGTCTTTGAGTTCCTCCCCGGTTTGGTCGCTGATTTCGAACCTCGAGTAGAAGTTGAGTCTGTCCAAAAGCTGGCTGAAAAGCCTGCCTTCCTTGCGTTGCGCAAGAACCGACAGACGGCACTGGACGACCAGGTGCGTGTTGTCCATGATGGTGTTAAAAAAACGCCGAGTCGGAAGCAGGGCTTCAAGGTCGATCATCAGCTCGAGGAAACGTTCGCAGTAGTGGACAACTTCCATGGCAGGCTTGTCTAGCTCGGGAACGTCCTTTGTCGGCGGCACAGACTCCAGGTATTTGAAGAAACGGTTGATGAGCTTCGACAAGAACTCGCGCTCGTACACAATTTTCTTGTAGGCGTCTTCGTCCAGTTTCTTGTCGTTCTTCTCGATATACGCCCAAAACTTCTTGAGCTTGGGAAAACGTCTGAACTCATACTCCCGCCGTTCCGGGAGTAGGGTTCGCCATGCCGAGAGAGAGACCAGCCGCTGGATTTGCTCCCTGATGAGACTGACCTCCATGCTGTTAAAGCAGTGGATAAGAAAGACCAAAAGCGCAGTTTGCTCCCGTAGCGAGAACGTGAAGTTTTCGTCCAGCGCGCTCTCCATGACTTTCCCGAAGAACTCGGGAAAGTGCTCGGGCTTGCTGATGAACGTCTGCCAGGCGGGAACGCGTTCGCGAAATTTTTCGTTGACCATGACGACGATGGACATGAGGTGAGCCGAAGACGCGCTTTTCGGATCGTAGTGGGACCACAGGTAGTTCTCGAGGTACTGGCTGAACTCGAGAAGCATGACTTTACGGATCGCGAATCCGGAGCCGAGGATCTCTTTCTTGTAGACGTCTACGATTACCTGGGGATCGTACTGCAGCCATGACGATTTGTTGTGGGGCACCCAGTAATCTTCGGCGAGTTTCGCGATCGTTTCCGTAGCGTCGGCACGCAAACCCGGCGATGAATAGACCGCCATGTCTAAACAAACTGGGCACAGGAAAATGCGACAAAGAACAAATAATGCCTACCCGTTTTTAGAAATCTAGTTTATTATAAAGCTTAAATTCTACCTCTTATGTTAAAATATTAGTATTTTGGTTTATAAGTATTTAAATTTGATTTTTTTTTCAGTGGGGGAAGTAAAGTAAACAAGTGGTAAAAAGGTAAATTAGCAAACAAAAACGTGAAGCGACAAGGGCCGTGCGAAGACCACGACCAACTCTGCGAAGACGACGGGAGGTAGCCGGCCGCTCTTCTAGTGCGATCAGTGAGAATGGCTGGAAGTTTTATTAGGTACATAGTGGGACCCCGGCTTTACAGGCTGCATAGAACCGCAGACAGAGACGTGAGTAGTTTTTTTTTCCATCCTGCGGCCTCAAGTTCACCGCGTCGCCAAGAAAACAGGAGCGCGTTGCAGGTCAGACGGGCCGCTCGCTCTTGTTTCCTCATAGGGAAGCTTTTCTTTATCCATCTCTTTTATTCGTTTTTCCAATTGGATGCATTGGACGCGAAAGATTTAATCTTCGAGATTCGCTCAGTCTGCTCCTTTCGGAAGGAAAGCTAACCTCGTCAGGGTTTTTTGAGTCGTCCTACGGAACGCGGGTGACACGCCACTTTTGAACGACTGCAATCTCTAGGAGGAAAAAAAGGCAGGTGGTTTAGTCTCCCCTCTCTGAATCACTCGGCGGACACTTTGGATTTACCTTGACATTACGCCGGAACAAAGTCGTCCGAAGGAAACGAGTTTCTCATGGCGGCAGTTCATCCAGGGTCAAGAGCTCTCCGGTGTCTTCTTTTTTGTTTACGTTTGCGTCAACTGGGGCGTCCGTCGCGTCTGTCGGCTGATTCCTTACCTTCCAAGTAGAATTCTTCCCGTGCTTTTGACGTGGGACGTTTTATTCTTCGTACAATGGTTTTGCCCGTGAATGTTCCTCTCGTATAACATCGATGTAAGCAGTGAGGAGGAGCAATGACCGCTACCATGAGCAACAATAAACATGGTCGCAAAATTTACACACACACACACACACACAAATGCTTTCCTATGGACGGTAGCTTCTGAGCCCAAGGGGTTACGTTTGTCAGTACCCCTAAAAAGTAACATCCTAAACTTGATATAAGCAGGAGACAATACTAAAATTTCGTCAGGTGCAAACCGTGCATAGCTTTTTCGTTTAGGCTCTTTCCCCCGACAGACACACGTGGACAGACGCAGGGCTATATAGTCTGTGTAGTCCAGAGGTGGCCACACAGACATATGCAAAAAGCCATAGAAAATGACCATTTCTAGTGAAGAGTTTCAGTAAAAAGGGGGTGTCACTGTTTTTTATTTTTATTTTAAATGGTGGCCAAAGTGAAGTCTACTGAAAAAGCAGTTCCTCATTTTGTTTCATTTTGCGCCCTTATTCGTGAAACAAGCACATTGAAATTTGGCTTGAATGATGATGTCGTAGTCCTCAGCACCTCAGTTGGGTGTTTGTGTCTATCAGGGTCTCACACTGTAGCTACTTTATCTCCGTCAATGTTGAGAAGAGTGCCCCAGAGCAGTACATTGATTCGAATATCAGCAGGAGTTTCTAACCTGCATCCTTGGCATGGAGGTATTTTGCTTTCGGGGGTAAACATACCAGGGGGAGCCACGAATTGCACTTGGGCCCGCAAAGGGGTGCAGTTCGGGGCACCACTGGTGTAGTTGCATGAAATGTAATTAATGCAGCACATTCCTTCCATGCTCAGTGTGCATTGTGTTATGTGCCTGGACAGGCACATAACACTGATCTGGTAGGTTTGCCACCTTGATAAGAGTCTAGGAGCGCTCTATGTTTGGTGACCCGTGGATGACAACAGTTTTTGGCATCTCTTATGACTGTCTTTTCTACCTTCATGTTTTGACTTCCGATACTGTAGCAAAATATCAAATGCTCCAAATTGATTGATGACTTTAACATATTTTCAGTTAATATTGCAGCTTGCAAAAATCCTGCTAATCAAATAATGTAAGACATTCCCACACAACAAGTTTTTGTTTCTTATACATAATCAAGTAGGCCCTACATACACGAAAAGTTGGACGTTCTGCATATTTATTGTTTGCATAAAATATTAAAACATTTACTTTTGTCTGGTCGATACTTTCTGGGAATAAGATTTTTTAATAGAATGCTGAACTGGCTGGAAGTGATATTTTATGGCTGGAGCATGCAGCAGAGGCATTCCTGGTAAGAATGAAAAAGTTGTAAACCAAAAAAATGATTTCTTGCTCCAAATATCAATTATATACAGAAAGTAATGCAACCTGGGATACCTCGATGGGCTGGTCTGTATGATGGTGCTGCTGCTGATTGTATAACAGCATCTGCTGACAGTCCTTCGTTTCAACTTGTCATGGGAGCGTTGCCGTTTGTTGGTATCTACATTGTCAAAGAAGAATAAAATTTTGAAAAAAAAAAAAAAGATTGCCCAACTAGTAATTAGGAGAAGATAAGGTCCAAACGCATGAAGTGTGCGACCAACCAGTGCTGCTGGGAGGGAGCGGCAAGTCAAACTTGACTTGACTTGAGCGGCAAGTCAAACTGACGACTGTGTCATCTACCGTAACATCTCTTCTAACACCGATCGCTAAGCTCTCCAATCAGACCTGGACCAGTTAGCCACGTGGTGTTCTTCGTGGCTAATGAGCCTCGACCACAACAAAACAAAACATATGTCGTTTACCAAATGCTCGTCTCAGACTCTAACTTCTTACCTTCTGAATAACAATACTGTCGAACTCACTTCTACCTATAAGTACCTGGGCGTCCACTTTCAGTCTGATTTGTCCTGGCACTACCACATTGATCTCACCCTTGCTTCCTCTAACCATTCCCTTGGATTCATAAAGCAGAGTCTTAAGCAAGCACCCGCTCACATACGTAAGCTAGCTTATATCACTCTAATCTGCCCCAAAATCGAGTATGCTTCTGCCATATGGGAAACTGAGCAAGCCTACTTATAAGTAACATCGAGTCCCTGCAAATTTGTGCTGCAAGTTTCATTTGCTCTGACTACTCTCCATTTTCCAGTGTCACCGCATTAAAAAATCAAGCTGAGTTGCTAGACCTATCACGCCGCCATAAACATGCCCGTCTGTCATTATTTCACAAGCTCTATCACCATGCATCGCTTAACGACTATTTTTTTAAAACACCACCCATTATTTTTCTACGTTGCGATTATTCATTCAAAGTAGTGTGCATCACATGCCACTCATCTAGTTAGGCATGATCATTCATACCACGGACCATAATCGACTGGAATAACCTACCGGCTCACATTGCAACTGAACTAGATATGTAAGAGCTCGTGCGTAGTTATACTAATACTTAGGGTTCTTTTTTATTCCTTGTTCTCATATTGTCTTTGTATAAATTTTGTGTTCTATCTGTGTACTATATATTTGCTTACCCCCCCCCCCCCCCCTCCCTTTCCCCCTATGTAGTACCCTTATACAGAGGGCCTTTAGGGATATTTTGAATAAATAAATATAAATCTTTCCAGAAACATCATCCTGAAAATGTTTTCTTTATTTACTCTGTTTATCGTTATCATATGTGCAGTTCTTTTGTGTATAAATCAAAGAATCGCCAAGCAAGAATGATAAGGCTGAACATGAGCAAAAAGAAGTGCTCTTCTGAGCATATCGGAGCGTTGAGCTTGATTTCTACCTTCCACTTAGTTGGCAGTTATGTTATGTCCAGTTTCAGAATATGCAAGCAAATCGGAAAACACATTAATGAAACAAAAACACATGCTTTGCAGGCACATGCTTTACAGGCACTCTGGAAGCCCTGAGCTCTCTTTTGTAGCTTGTCCTATGCTCATGTTTAAACTGAAATAGAGTATAGTTTTCCTGGAGTAATGTAGTCACTTTTTGATGTCTACACTTCCTGACTATTCTAAATCCTAACCAAATTTGATTGCTGCTCCAATAAATTATGACATACTATCACATGGCCTGCTGCATTTCTTCGAAGTTCAGTTTTTATCTTTGACATTGATGACTCTTTGGATGCGCTACTTTTTACCCAGGGTCGGAGCTATGATCCCAATGGCCTGGAGGGCTACAGTGATACCATCATCCGCTCAGTAAGTTTTGCAGTAAGTGTGGACAGTGCACCTGCATCGCTACCCAGAGTTGCTTGGTGTGCTTTTTTCTTCCCTTCTCTTGTTGAGTGCAAACTTGTGTCTGGTCTTTGCACCCCCTACTGCGCAATGTGATGTGGCTTCGGTGTGTGTCCTAGTGGCCACCCGACGGTTGCTACGAATCAGTTAGTTGGCGTTTTGCTCGACTAGAGGTTCAACTCGACTGAACTCGGAAGGCGTCTGTGTTATGCATGTTGTGTGTTAAATATGTGCTCTTAGATTACTTAGTAAACTGCATGTTTATTTTTAAATATGTTTTTCGGCTGTCATGTTTTGACCATTGGCAGTGTTGTCACATATTGCTCATTGGTAGAGAGAGGCAGGGTGAAAGTGGAAGCAATATGTATTGAAAAAGACAAGAGGCTAGTAAATGCTTAAAGGGAAGCTACGGAGCTTCTTGGAAAAAATGAGTTAGAAGTGAATTCTAGTGTATTTTTACCCCGTGAACCCGAATACCCAAACCATTTGCTGCGTAAGTATTGTTAAACGCGAGAAAAACGCGAAAGACAGTCGCTGTCCGTGACGTCATCGACGGCTCTTTTGGCTGCCCAAGGCTAGGGCGGCGGGGCTTCAGCCCTATTTTGAAATTGCTCTTGTGGCTCTCTGGCGCGTCGCATTGAAATATAATTTTGATATCTGTTATTCTAAAGGCAAAATGAACGCAATTCAAGCGTTTTTTCTCAAATGTAGAAGTGCCCCATCTTCCCTTTAAAGAACACGGGGTACATATGTTAGGGAAGTGATAATAGGCCGAAAAATAGAATTCTAAGGGACGAATACTATATACTTGCATAAAGGGTCCCAAAATGGTTAGTAAGGTAGATATTGAAAGAGCGTCTCAGTCCAAAATGTCAATAAACACCGATGGCATGCATACAGCTTCAACATTTATTACCGAGGCATGTTGTGCTAACTTAACAACAACATAATGCTTATCTGTACATTTGTCTTTCTGTCAGAAAATTGGTTGCTAAGGATTGACTTGTTGATATATTCATTTATTGCTTGCTTTGTTTCTCTAACTGAGCTTTTTTATCTTAGGGTGAGCCGTATGGAAATCTTTGTGCCTCACTTTTATTATTTTTTTTTAAATTAACCTTCAAATACTAAAAAAAAAAAACTTATAATTTTTTAAAAATTATTGATACTTCAAATTGCTTTTGTTCTTTTTATATTTTTAAATTGTTTCTATGTGCCTCAATTATGTTAGGTTAGATTAAAGTAGTTTCAGAGCCTTATGATAGTGCATGGTCATCTTCAAAACCTTCGCATTTTTTTTTTTTTTACGAGCTGTTCCGGATTGTCTGCAGGTTGCACATTAGTAGTTCAGGTCAGGCAAAGAAAGTGATGTTGATCTCCGTTCACTTCTGCAGCTGTCTCTGGCATGGTCGATAGGTGTCTACACATCTCCCATCATTGCAGCAGTGGCCTATCGCAAAGGTGAGTTTACTCAAATGATCAGCAAGTTGAGTAAGTTGCAACATAGTGTTTTCACCACATTTAACAAATTCTGGGACTGAAGGCATTTTTTTGCTGTGATGTGACGATTTGAAATGAGGCACAAATCCTCTCTGTGTATGTACAGACATCTTAAAACACAGGTCAATAGACTGGAACATCTTTTTCGTGTGTTTTGTGAAATAAGCTTACTAAAAGCTGGTGTGAAGAATATTATCTTGAGCATTGTTTGTGACTGGTCTCGCATTAAATTTAGTTTGAAGTGTGGAAAAGGAATGAAGATGATGTAAACAGTTTTTAACATTGGTGCATCCCACATTGCCCTCATGTTCCTTGGACATTATATCGGCAATTCTTCATTGGTTTCAAATTACCGCCCAATATCACTAACCTGCTTTGCATCTGAACTTCTCGAGCATGTTTTATATTAGCACATTAGGCAGTTTTAGAATAGCGCATGCTAAAGCTTTGGCAAAGAATAGCGCCGTTGCCACTGCGCATTCGCCTAACGCTAACCACGTTATGTGCTTTGCGTGCACTATTTTAGCGTATGCTTTTTTTCAGAAATTGCGTGTGTTCGCAAAGAGTCTTTGCGCTCCTCCAAGGAGGATTCATGATAAGAAGTTCTCTAAAGCCAAGACGAGCACAGTTAAAAAAAATGGCGGCTCCCTTAAAGCGTCGTGAGCGCGACGTCTGCGGCCCCCTCGTGATTGCGATTTTCAACGCAGGACGTTTCTGTTGTGTACCTCCTACGGGAGGTGCACGTCGGAAACGTTTTGGAAGACCCAGCAAGGCGGGCAACGATTGCCGGCAACTTGCTGCTTGCCACGTGTGAACGTTTTTCGCCGGGGTGTGTAAGGGTCAGTACGCGAGACCTCTCTTGCCGAGGCAACGCAAGCAGACACGACCGGTCAACCGCTCGCGTCGCATTCTCAAATTTAAACAAATCTAAAATGTTACTCTAAACCCAAAACAACTTTTTATTTATTTTTTTATATTTCAAGTTGCAGCATTGCGTGTGTGAAATAAAAATTGTTACTGCAACTCGGCAGCTTTGCAAGCGCGAAGTGCTTGGGCTTTTGCGTTTCGGTGGAGAAACGCTATTCTAAAACACTCTTGCGTAGCGTGCGCTAACACAAGCGCTAAATTTAGTTCTAGCGTGTGCTAAAATTGCATACATTATTCTAAAATTCTGTATTCTGTCACATCTCAAAAGCAACAATTTGTTCCATGACCATCAATGTGAACTTCAGAAAGGATACTCCTGTGATACTCAACTTCTGGAATTCACCTATGAAGTTATTAACCTTGAAGAAAGTAGCCAGATTGATGCCACATTTTCAGATTTTTCAAAGGCTTTCAATCGAGGACCGTCACCATGAAGTTTTAATGTGTCGTTTGAGAATTGGACATTCACGTGTCACCCATCGACACCTTCTTTGTGGTGAGGACGCCCCAGTCTGTGAGCATTGCGGTGAATTGCTAACAATGCTGCATATTCTATGGCACTGCAAATTCTTTGACCAAGAACGTCAAACAAGTTTCCCTGCACTTTCTGGATACCTTCCATTTCATCCAGCCTTTTTACTGGGAGATCAACCTTTAGTTCCTTTTGGTCATATTTTAGATTTTCTTAAAAAAACTGGCTACCTGCACCAGTTATAGATCATCTGCATAGTAATTCCTTCCTTTTACTATAGTCTTTTAACTATTCCTTTGGCGCAGCATGGCCTATGTTGCTTTTGCGCCATTAAACACCTAATAATCAATCAATCTTTCAATCGAGCCCCTCATTGTTTCGTTGCCAAACTTTCGTGCCTTAATCTTGATCCACTGATTCTGTCATGGGCTCATGAATTTATTTCTTCTCGCTTACAGTTCGCAGCCGTTAACATACATCTATCTAACACTAAACCAGTGACTTCAGGAGTTCCCTAGGGATCGGTGCTTGGACCTTTACCTTTTTTAAATTTTCATAAATGACCTTCCAGTTTCTATTTCTTCTAGCATATGACTCTTTGCAGACTACTGTGTACTTTACCGTAAAATTGTTAATTAAAATGACCATCATATAATATGAAAGCTATCTTAATACAGTAAAAACAAGGTGTAATGATTGGCTCATGTCACTAAATAAATCAAAATGTAAATTAATTAACTTCACTCGTAAACGCTCAGCATCCGTTTTTCCATACTCATTAGAAAATGATCTGATGGAAGTAGGAGACTGGTATAAATACCTCGGTGTGACATTAACAAAAGACCTTACCTGGTCTAATCACAGAAATTATCACAGCGGAAGCCTCCCAAACTCTCGGATGCATTAGACGAAACTCGAAATCCAGTCCATCTCATCCATAGAAACGGGCATATGAAACTTGCTTAATGTTCAAACTGGAGTATGCGGCATCAGTCTGGAACTCTCGCTAAATCTGCCTTATTTGCAACCTCGAATCGGTTCCGAACCGAGCTACAAGATTCATCCCATCCAACTGTGACCGCACCTCCGGCGTCTCTGCCCTAAGAGGCCAACCCTTCCGTTGTTTCAAATTTGTCTCAAAATTGCTCGCCTTTCAGTTCACAAAATCTACTATAGTGGAATCTCGTTAATTCAAACTCTCTTAAAAACTAACATGCACGTCCCGTCCCACGTGTCTCTAGCAAGGAAACTCCCGGTAATTCAAGCTTTGCGTTATTCAAACAAAGTTCTGGGCCCCCTTCGGGTTCAAATTAACGGGATTCTACTGTACTATCATCCTACACTCCACAACGCACTACTACATCCTCCGCTCGGGTCATCTGCCTGACTCGGCAATTCTTGATCAATCACTCATTTATCTGCCAGCACTAACACATGCTAACACATTTAACCGCTCTTCCTTTCCCCAGACAATTGTTGACCAGAACGACCTGCCTCACTCCGTCGTTTCACTCGGCACTAACGGCTCATTTTCTTTAAATCTGAAGGTGAAATCTCACTTATGCGTACCACTGTTCTCTAATGGTTTCCTATTGTCTGTGACAGGTTATGAGTAAAGTAGAAGCTTCTCCCACCTCTTTCCACTTTAGCAGAGCGAACGCTGGAGAGGAGGCGACATTTTCTCCAGCGTTCGCTTTACCAAAGGGGGAGCTGGGAGGAGCTTCCACTTCACTCTTAATCTGTCACCAACCATAGTTGTTGATTTTGTCTGCCCCCCCCCCCCCCCCCCCCTTATGCAATGCCCTTCTGAGGGCCTTTAAGGGAAAATTAATAAATCAGATAAATAAGGTCAGTATGCTCAAGCTATTCTGGGGATGTGTGGAGCCAGCCGAGACTTTTAAATTCCCCATGAGCGTCCTGTTTGTTTTAAGATACATTTTAGAGATAGCTTCTACAGGATGTGACTGCAGATGAATACTCCAGAGACAACTTTTTATGGGCCATTAATGAGCAGTTTTTACGTGTCTTTATATGTTTGTGCGACACTAAGTACCCATTTCATACTTTCAAAAATGCTGCACGAATCGAGGGAAGAGGTGCTCAGTTTTCTGGAGCGTCCGTGACCCACGCGGAGACAATCAAGGGAGTCTCGAGTATTTTCATTCGGTTTGGAGCTTACGGTGCTCGTCCGCAAATTTCAGATAACTTCACAAATGTCGGACAAGTTGTAATCAAAATTCCGTTTACGACACCGCATGATTCCGTCGGTAGCGGCACATTAAAAAAAGAAATCTCAAAGAGATGCTAACGGCTGCGGTCACTGAAGGGATGAGAATGGCAGGGAAGTCTTGCTCTCAGCACTAGCCACCCAGGTTCGGTGACGCTTCAGCTTTTCGGGATCCTCAAACGTGCACCGTACACGTGCAGCCAATGCATTGCGGAAGGCAATAATGTACTGGAGGCTGGGCATTCGAAAGAGACTCCCCGCTGTCTTCAACTATAAGGGACTATGACAGGCCGAACTGTATGTCGTCAGTTTTTTGTTTCCTCTGCGTGAACCTTTTTCTTCCACTGTTTCAGGGTATGCCACATTTGAAGGATTCTGCGCTTCGATTAGACTCGCGGGCGTCATCGTCTTCGTCATGATGGGCACGCTCTGCCTTAGAGGTGGGTCACAATTCCACAAATCTATTCGAGCTACGTACAAGGAGACGGACGTTGAGATCTTTCTAATATTACTGTTCTTTTCTGTTGCCCCTCTCGTCTTTGCACCAGCACTGCAAATTTATCGGCGACCTCGGGAGTCGGAGCTCGCACGATAGGGCTTCTTGTGTTGGCCCAGAAAGGGACAGGCGGTACGGGCGTTCGTTTAAACTGCAGTACGTCTCGAGTACTTGTTGGGGTTTTTAAAAGAATGCTGTCCTCTATTTTTCTTTTCAAGCAATCGATTCTACCGTGCAGTGTATTAAAACTTTCTTTTCTTTTTGTCTCGCTACTTTATAGGGAGTAACATACATTTATGTAGGTCCTGTACGAAACTGTTTCTCGCAGTTTGTTCGGGTAACCTAGGAAACATCGGACTGTGCACACTTTCTGGTTTAATTTGGGGAGAAATGGGACTTGCCCCATATTTCAAAATGTATTGATTCTTAGTCGATGGAGATAAGGTTTTACTGGGAACGTCTGTCCCCACCTATCACTCGCACGAAGGACTATTAATAAAATTCAACACATATCATAATTGTGATTGGAATTTTGGTGTTGGCTTAGTCCCCCAGTGACAATATTTTAATGCGGCTCGTAGATTGGATTCGAGCTTGTGATAATAGCTCGACAAGCATTCGGGTAGTGGCTCATGCCCAATCACTGCAATGAGGACAATAGCCGAACCATAACAATGTCTGGAACTCGGCATGTGTTCTTTGCTTTGCCTACTCCAGTGCGTGGGTATGATAAGCACTGGTGGCATATAATCGGCTATAGATTACTTGGCCGCTTGTTCTGGCTCCGAGTTGAGGGGACGAACGCTGCTCGTTCTTTGTTATTTTTTCTTGTGACCACCATTGCACGGGGAGAAAAACAAACTTGCTTTTTGTAGGTTATAAACGTCACAAATTCTTTCTAAGCAGTATTTGTGCAAAGTACAAAACTCATTGAACCACCCTTTAAAGGTAACTTATTAGCAGGAGGAAAGATCCTTAGGTAGGTCAAAGTACAAATGCATACAACTGAAACAGCCGTAAATTTTTACGGAGCCATCCAACCTTCGTGCGTTTCTCTCTTCTCAAATAAATTTATGTTACAATGATGTATGTACCTGATTTCAGTGGGAGATGTACCACTGAATGTAGCACTGCGATATCATTTCAGGTATTGGGCGCATTGCCAGTCCAGACTACAGCAGCTTCCTGCGGGCACTCCAGTCTGCACAAACAAACCTCACAAAGGAGACTAAGGTTTGCATATGCTTGTCTTCTAAAATTTAATTTGCCATCATGAAGAAACTAATGGTGAATTTCACTGGTAGATCCGTAGTGCTTTCCAAAATTTGTGAGGGAGGCAAAATTCCGCTCTGTGGGACCCACTTTGCATCGATGAGCGGAAGATGGACTCGCATTTTTGGAGTGACACCCCAACCCGCCCGAAACGGTCGGCCATTCAAAATGGCCACTGCTCGAACTTGACAAGCCTACCAACGCCTCAGCCGACTGATCTTTTCGACGACCTGTGACAACTGTCGCTGCTTAGCTGCAAAAATAACTCGCGACACAGGCTGGGCGAAAATATCCGTACCTTGGAGTCTACGTAGCAAATAACCAGGAAAGCGTCCACATTCGCCACCGTTGCATACCTTTCGGCAGCCTCAATGTTGTGGGGTACGCACAACGATTGCCATCGGTGGAGTTCAGATTGCTGGTACGAATTTAGTGAACACAAAGAGGTAACAAACCATCACTTGAACGGTCATTGCCTAATTTGTTCTTGCCAGCGGCACGCAGAGTAAAAAGGTAAGCAATCGGTGGTAGCGAAATGAACAGGCCTAACCTTGCATCTGCCTCCTTCCGATTTTTTCTCATTATTTTTTTCATCATTCATTATTTTTCTTGTTCTTCCTCTCGCTATCACAGATGTTGGCGCTTTCGATTTGCCATGCTCCAGTGCCGGCTTTGTATCCCTTATCTACGTGAGGTAGAACCATTCGAGCCGTCGCAATCCCGCGTAAACAACCAATGCATCCGAGCAGATCCGTTTGACGCCGCGGCCGGTTCGGCGAGCTCGTTGCGCATGTGCACCGCCGAGTTAAATGATGTAGCGTGCTTCTGTCCACTTCTACCAAGATCTCTGAAATCCCGCGGATCAAGTTCGGCGGGGTTGGAGGCGCTCCATAGTGCGGGTGCTGCCAGAGATCTACGAGTGGAAATTGACCAACTTGAGCCAGATCCGTGAGCAGAATACTATGCGTGCTCCAAATGAAGCGCGTTTAGAGCGCTCGAGATCTGCGAGCGGAATTCACCATAAGAGATTACAGCACGCCTGGATCTCTAGCTTCTTCAGGTAGTCTGGTATACTTTTAAGTTACCGAAAATTTTTTTATTCATCTCACTATGGTGTTTATGAACGGTATCGGCAAAGCACTTGAGATGCAAGTGAATGGAATCTCTTCTTCAGGAATTCTACTTTCTTGGGTAATCTAGCACTCGGGTGAGAAGGCTTCATAACACGTAAGATGTTATAGCCTTATAGGGCTGGGTTTCATGAGAAAAGCAACATGTTGTGCTTGACCGACGCACAGGTCAAGCTCACATGAGCAGTGTAGCCCCACAGGCGCTATATATAATTGACAACAAGGTCGCATAACACTGATGTCACTTGATACCGTAATGTCACACGATGTCAGGCACGCAAACAGCATGTGCCCAGCTCATTCGTAACGCATTCGGTGGACCTCCTAGTTGATCAGTTATGATCAAGACATACTTAAATTTTTGGGTAAAGCCAACCCAATAATATGCACATAGATTTCGACGACCCTTCCCCCCCTCCCTTGTGCCCCAAGTCATGGACATCCCAACCACCTCAACCTCCCCCCCCCCCCCCCCCCCCCCCCAAAAAAAAAAAAAAAAAAAGATTTGGCTGAGCCACAGCTTTGGGATGTCTAATTCTACCAAACACAGTATGCATGGGTATGTCAAGAGCTATGCTACAAGGCAGTTCTGTGACATTAAAAAAAAATTAATTTGCGCAGATGGAGCTCTCCAAATTCGACAGCGAGTTCTATGCCTGGCCTATTGATTTCCGTTGGAGTGACCCGGACGTGTAAGTCGCATTTGCTGCTCACTGCTGCTTTTTTCTTCTGATCATTTGAACGTACATATTGCCTCCGGAAACAGCTGGGCTTTTCAGAATTGCTTGTGTATGGGAGCTTGCCTTTTTCACTACTGTCGAGACCGTTTATAACGAAGTCAATGGGAATCGGAAATCACTTTGCTATATCCGCTATTTCGTTAGAAGCGACTTCGGTTAACGAATACAAAAGGGAATGGGAAATCGTGATCGCTTCGCTCTAGCCGCTATTTCGTTATAGCCGACTTCGTTATAACCGGTTTCGACAGTACTGGAATATTTTCACTTATAAATAATTTTATCTATGAATATTTATATGTTCTGTTGAAATGTGCAGTCTATATATATAAATAAATCTGTGTCGTAGATAAATGCAACGTAAATATTACTTTACATAACATACTGTTGCAAGCAGCTGTTTTTTTTTTCCAACTTTAGTGCTTCATTGTAATTTGATAAAAATTAAAGTATTTTCCAGCTGTGGACCTTAGATTCAGTTCGGTTCACTATTTGTGAATACAGGGAAGGAACTGCTGTGCCTATTGCGCCACTGTGCACCTAATGACTTCATGCGCCACGCTGATACAAAGCTATAAATACAAACAAAATTGTGCCAAGGTGCGCCCAAACTGGAAGTATAAATTAGCCTTGTCGAAATTAGCCGTCTTGCAGTTTACTATGTTAGCAACATTCACATCGGAACTTCCGGCCCAAATAGGACGCCAGTGGATCCGAATCCAAAAATCTGTATCTGAAGATTGGTGCCGCCAATGTTAGCTGCCGTTGCTGCATGCTCACCATGCTTTTCTGAAGTCTTGGAGTCACTTCATCTGAACATCCGAGTAGTGGAGCAAACATGTGCCGCGGCCTTGTGCAGAGAACTTGGGAACAAAGGCAAGCGAACAGTGAGGCATATGACGGGGCAAGATACGAGCTGCCAGATCGTGATTGGGCTTTGAAGCGATTTGACAGTGATGTCACGAAAGTACCTTTGACAGCAGACTTGCAGCAAACTGTGAATAAGTCTCATAAAGTTTACACAGAAATGCTAGAGGTCGAAAAGCAAGACGACGAGAGGCATAAAAGGAAGAACAGTGATGCGTGTACGAAGTGAGCTCGTCTTCAGGAAGAAGAGCGACAACTTGAGCAGAGCATCATCATCATCAAGCGGACTATGCTTGATCATGCGCAGTCATCAATTAAATCAAGTCTGAAAAAAAAAAAAAAGAGATGGAGAAGATTGAGTCTGGACAAGGGCTGTTAGCGGAGGCTAGTGCGAAATTGGCTCAAAACCCCGAAAAAGTGAAGTATGTCCTTGAGTAATTTACTAAGTCTGAATAGATTTAATTGTACAAGGGCATTTATTATCTTATTCTAGTCACTGAAATATGAAAGACCATTTTTGTGTCTGCATTTTTATTTTTCGGTACACCTTACTAGTCGATGCTGAGCAATGAAAGCTATTTGTACCTGTTTATTTTTACCTCTTTGCAAGTCGGTTTTATCACGTGTCACACTGTCATGTGCAGTTTTGCTTCATATGTTTTGTGTAATTTGCACATAATTTTGTGGAAAATAATTCAAACTAAAAGATTTATTCAAACCACCGTTAAGTTCACATGGAGCCACCTTCATGCCATATTTTTTATAGTTTCAAAAACCCGGTGACATTTAGCTTGTATTTTAACATTCTTAAAACTCGTTTGCTGCTCCCAACTTGCTCCAAGACCTCATTTTTGCTGCTCCCAACCTGCTCCAAAGTGTATATTTTTCTGCTCCCAAGATTGCTCCAAAACTGCTTTGTCCAGTTCCATCCCTGTGAATAGTAAAAATTTCTAAAGTAATGTTTGAAAAATTTCTTCTTGTGTTTGTACATCTACAGCATGTGGATTCAACTTAGAGGTACATTGCTGTAAAAACTGTCTACCAAAGGAATTTTACACCAAGCATACTCCCATACATCTAGGCTCTGTGCATGGCTGTGCTGCATGCAGCATTTCTCAAACAGAACTGGGTGCAAACCGTCCAGTCAAGGCACACTGATAACAAAATGCAAGCGATGTTGAGTGCCATGGGGCAGATATACTTGATACATTCCACTCAATGGATGCCAAGTTACTTGTTTCCCATCACTTTTTTTTCAGTTGAACCATCTTGTAAATCTTCCAGGGCAACATTGTTGGTCTCAGCCACCCAAAATGTTAGAAAATTCACTTGCACTCAGGGGCATATAGTGAATAACGTTTTAGAGCGCAGCTCTTAGGTGCCCGTTTCCGGCTTGAGTGGCGTCGCTATCGGTGTAACTGCACGGTGCATTATGGGTAAATTTCCCCGCTAAATTTAGCAAAAAAATTTCCCCGCCAAATTTAGCTAAAAAATTTCCCCGCCAAATCTAGCAGAAAAATTTCCCCGCTAAATCTAGCGGAAAACTTTCCCCGCTAGATCTAGCGGAAAAATTTCTCTGCTAAATCTAGTGGAAAAATAAATTTCCCCGCTAAATCTAGTGGAAAAATTTCCCTGCTAGATCTAGCAGAAAAATTTCCCAATCTAGCGGAAAAATTTTTCTGGGGAGTTATGTGACCCCCTCCCCCTCCCCTCCCCGAGGTCACTTGACCCCCACCCCCTTAGTACCCTTCCCTACTCCTCAACAGCTGTGCTTTAATTCGGCGTTACAGGGAGTTTTAAACGGCTTTCGCATTTTTTAGTCCTTTGTTGAGTAAGCAGTCATTTTGTAATTTCACCTGAGTTTTGGGTTGTGCTCTTACACACAAGGCGTATAAAAGTAAACTTTCTTTGGTGCTGCATCTGAAACGTTGCCACTTTTTCAAATCCTGGAAGCACATGGAAGCTGCTGTGAAGTCTGCCCTTTGTTGCCACTTTCTTTGACAGGGACAACAGCAAGCCACGCATGGAAGTAGACAGCCATTCCTCTAGCAGGAGGGGCTTTTTTGCCAGTATGAGAGCAGCACCCTGCGAAATGTTCAGGTATGCAACTGTTCCACACACTTCTGGTATGCTTGTTGGTCAGACTGTAGCACATGGAGCGTGTCCTTGGCTGGTGTGTTTAGCACCTTATACTTCCCATGCATGAAGGTGTTGGTGAAAGAACGCAGCAAATTATATTGACTGGCTTTGTGCTGCTCTGCTAGTCTGCCCCAAGCTAAACAGTTTGAGGAGAAGTTGTCCACTGACCGTTCAATTATTACGCAGCTTAAACTATAGATGTGTTCAATTATTTTGTTATATTCAAATATTCTCTTTCAATTCAAAAACCTTGTGCACCTACTGCTGGCTTATGCTGTTTTGATGTTTGTTTGTCAATTACTCCAGGTAAAGGCGTTGCACAAAATGGCCTATATCTTTGGTGAAACTTTCACAAGATGAAGTGACTCACTGTCCAAGTTACAGAACAGTATGCTCTATCCTTCATTTGTTTATGGATGGCTATGGGATTGCACTACCGTTAGATCCTGTCTCAATGGGTACATAGCAGAGGAATGAATAGTTTGGGCTAACTCAGTGTTAAGGTTCAGGAAAGGTTCCTGGTGCAAGGGGTGTAATATGTATTTGGACATTGTTGCACTCTGACTCTCATAAACTTCCTTGTTTTATTTCTCGTTTCAGTTACATTGCAGCCCACACATTTGGCCGTAGAATGATGTACCCGGGTGCAGTCCAGCTGCTTCAGGCGGCTGTCGGTACTGATTTTACTGCCTGTATTACTTGACATTTAATAGCGCAGTGCCGAGAAGGTACTCTCTCGCCAGGAAACCAGCTGTAAATGGTCCAAATATTGAAAAGCTATTTCTTGTGGCACATTCTTGTAGTACAGTCAAACCCAACTATATCAAACCCGTTTACATCGAATTATTTCTTATATCGAACAATTTTTGTGCACAGTAATGTTAGTGATAATATTTAGCAAAAGCTATGGTTACATCGAACAAAAATAGCAGCCGCTACCGATATATTGAACTGCGAAAAGCGCCAATTTGCTCCGCAAGCTGTTTTCTTTTTCTTTTTTTGAGCAGTTGCGTTGATTGGTTATAAGAAAAAAAAATCTCATTTGCGGAGGGAGCGGGAAGAGAGTTCTTCATGCTCCCTCTCCCTGCTTCGTCTGCAAAAGAGAAAACAATGTTTCTCTTCCGTGTGGTTGACGCGGCCGCCCGGTAGAAAAGAAAGACAGCTTGCTCTGGGAGCTGGCTTTCCTCCAACCTAGCCGCCTGCCATATGGGAAAGCCAACTTGCAGAGTAAAATGGCGCTCTGCAGGAGAAGGTGATCCTGCTCGGACGTGCACCGTGCTCTCGGCATAGTTCGGCGCTAATGCGCAAATATAGAAGGCAGCGGCCTCAGCATTTTGGAGTCCGTCGATAGCGGTGAAAAATATCGTTATCGCGGACGCAATGAAGAAAAAGCAGAAGGTGCAAGACTATTTCATTGCGTAATATGTCAGCAGAAAGTGGATTTTTGAAAGTCAAATTCATTCAAACTTTTGCATCGAATTACCCACTACGGTATATCGAACTTGTAGACTTTTTTTTGCGAGTTCGATATAAACGGGTTTGACTGTAATACAAGACTGGACTCATTCTTAACTGCATGTTTTTGTGTGAAGGGGCTGTGAGTTCTGGTGCTCAAAGTTTTGAATCAAGTTGTTGTACACCAATCCTAGGTTTTGTTGCATCATTAATAGCATTTTTCTTGCACTAGTGAGATGATCAGTAGTAACTTGATTTGAACTTTTTGGGGGTCAGGTTCAATGATCTCCAATTGTTTATGCATGCTTGCTTTTATTTTGATAAGTTTTCTCCTCCTTTATTCTATCTCAGCACCCATGCTACTCCAGGGCAGAGCTAGGCTCATTGAAGAAGTGAGTGTGATTTTCCTTCTACTTTTTTGTTCTCACACTAACTTCCTTGCTAAAAACTTGTTTCTTGGGGCTGTCATTGCGTATGAAAACATGGGTTTGTAATGAAACTGTTTTATTTGTCCTCATCACCAAATGGAGCACTTTGCTTGCATGGTGAGACTGTGTGATGATGAAAATTGCTCTATGTCTCATATAATACAGAAGAGTATCAAGTCTCGAGTATGCATGAAAAAGAATATATTTGCTACTCAATATTTGTTATTTATAATGTGATGTGAAGAATACCTCAGTAATGGTTACTCCAATGTCTGCCTCTCAAACTGACTTCGATGCCATTTAGTAGTCGTAGAAACCGGATACGGAGTCAACCGCATGTTACGATGTACAAACTGATGTTTTAGGTGGCACCTCTCTCAATGCATGCTCTGCATTTTTAGTCTTGTGCAGTGTCAGCTTTTATTTTGTTTTATTACTTCAGGAATGCCTACACTTAGCTCTGCAATTTGAAATAGCTCACCTGTGTAATTGTTCAACGAGGCACAATAAAATTTTTGCGGGATACGTGTTTGACTCCTTGCAGTACAACGCCATGAGACACAAGCTGTTCACGAGAGACGGCAACGAGATTGATTCCGTGTTTGTGGACAGGCGGAACGTGTCTTCTGCTCCCCATGGGAATACATTGGTAAGGCCTACCACCTGTTGACAACCCTTGTGTAGGGCCTCCACAAAGCTGGCATCTGTGTTAGTGACGTTGTCCAGTGCCCTGAAGGCCAAGTCATCATCTCGGGCACTCGATGCTCATCTCAATAGGTCCCGCTGCATGGAAGTAGGAAGCTTCTGGAGGTGTCACGACACTTCCAGAAGCTTCCTACCTCCATGTCCTACTGACTGATTTAGCCTAACCCTGTGCCTCCCTCTTGCAGGTGATCTGCTGCGAGGGCAATGCGGGCTTCTACGAGTATGGCATTGCCACCACGCCACTCGAAGCTGGGTTCTCCGTTTTGGGGTGGAACCACCCTGGCTTTGCTGGGAGCACTGTGAGCACCTTCTGAAAGTTGTGAAACTTCTCGTTTGGGCATTGTCCCTAGTGCAGTTGCAGAAGCGCTTTTTTTTTTTCTGAGGATTGGTTTACTGGAATGCTCGATAAGGTGTCTCTGGCTATGTGGGTCTTTATCAAAGTGATTATCTCTGGTGTTTATATGATGTTTTACCATGTTATTTTGTATGCAATGCTAAAAACATGTTTTTCACCATAAATACTTTGAAAATATATTACTAAGGTACTCCAGTAGACCTTATGCGAAATAGCCTGGTGGTCTAAAAACACTGAGAGCGTCGTCAGTATGGAAGCAGGGTGAGACATAGGAGACAGCGTTGAAACTGCCTACGACTGAAATGAAGGTTTTGCTGCTTATTTGCGAGATCAAATCTACGTACCATTTGTGAGAAACTGTCGCCCGTAACATTGCCAGAAAATTATGAAAATATGTTTAAAAGTCTAGAGTGCTCCAAGTCTACAGGATAAATGCCACCAGGGTATTTGTGTGTTCTCTCGTTCTAAGCGGGTAACCGGGAATGTAAGGCGCTTGAGCATACCCGAGTGCAAACGCGTCAACCAGCCCCAAGCAATCTCGTGAAATGCGTCTTGGATGCCTCGTTTGTGCCCAGGGCGTGCCGCTGCCGCCACAGGAGAAGAATGCCATGGATGTGGTGATGCAGTTCGCCATCCACCGGCTTGGCTTTGCCCCGGAGAACATTGTCGTGTTTGCCTGGTCCATTGGCGCCTACTGTGCCACCTGGGGTGCCATGAACTACCCAGACATCAAGGGCCTGGTAACTCTCCTCTATCAAACCTAAAGCTTTTTTCTCTTATTTTTAATTGTTTTGCATTTATATGTGCCAGTTTTCTGGCTTTTCCTGTCCGCGGATGTAGCCTCGACGACGTCGCTCGACACTGACAAATTCGTCTACGCGCTCACAAAACCCTTGAAACTTACCTCTCGGCAGCCTTCTTACCGTGCATGAAAAAAAGGGACTTCCAAAGGAGTTCTAAATGCGCAGCATTTAGAACTCTTTTGGAAGATGTTTAGGAGACAGCCACTTTTTTTTCTTTATCCACTTGCTCGCTTTTATCACTGGGTTGAGACTGTCTGCGGTACCTTAGACCCCAGATTGAGCAACCTTCACGAGTGCCACGCTTTGCTCGGAATGCGTGGCGTGCGATTGGATGTGAGCCCACAGCCGATTGCCCTCCGACGCAATAATAGGAATAAAGTCCGGGCCGAATGCCGACGCAGCGCTTGTGCGCAATGTGGTCCGAGATTGCACGCCAAAAGTGCTTTCATTACGCGGAGTAAAATTTTTGCATTTGCACACTTCGTGCGAATGTCATATAGGGTGCCAATATGACACGGCGAGATACTGTGACATGTCTCCATTAAGGAGGCACACCCATGGCTGTTCGGGGGCGCGCCACAGTAACCATGCGTTATAAATTGCAAACCTTTTTAGGGCGCTTTCGGCATGCTTTTGCCGAAGGAAAACGCCCTACGAAGCTCACTCAACATGGAGAGCAACGTGACCGTTCTTAGACCTAGCCACATTCACGATTTCACTGTCCGAAAGCGGACCACAGACAACGGCGTGTTTGTTGATGTCAATGCTTCCGATAGGTGAAGAATGTCTGGGGCTGGGTGATTTCTCGACCCAAGCTTCGTCAAGTGTGCGCACCGCTCGGTTTCATGGTTGATCACTTCCGCAACTACCCATTTGCAGCCATTACGAGAGCGGCTTGTTTTGGCTTGACCTGACCGCTTGGCGGCAAAAGAAAATTGGCTTGGTGGGCTTGGTGGCTAGCTAAGTTGGACGCAATTCGAGACTCGCGGAGCCGAGAATTGGAAGTGCTTTCATTACGTGAGGGAAAAAAAAAGTGCAAATATTGGTACTTATTGGGCGGGGTGCGTTCATTATGCGAGTGCATTCATTATGCAAGTAACTACGGTATATACCGTCAAACTTCAGTCTCTGCCTAAATGTTACGCTAGCGATTCGCACCTGAAGTTTCAGACCTTGCTGTTACCTAATTCCAAAGTTACAAGCAATCTTTTTTTTTATTTTGTGAAAAAATAATGGGGGCTTGTTTTTGTAGCCGACACCATTCAGGTTCGTGTATTCGTGTGCTTTGTTGGCTGTCATTTTCTGATTGAAAATTTTCAAAAATCGCCTAAATTTTTTTAATAAAATAACGGCAAGGTCTCAAACATTTGCGTCCGGTCCAGACCGCTAGTGCTAGATCTGGGCAAAAACTGAGAGTTTGAGAATGCATAGTTTGTTTATGTGAGGAATGCATAGTTTGTTTATGTGAGGAATGCATAGTTTGTTTATGTGATGGAAAAAAAGACTGAAAAAGTTTCTCCCCAACACCTGCTACAATAGTGCATATGGTGAATTCCGTTTGTGCCGTGATGGCGCAGCTTGTGTTTCTCCTTGTCTTGCTTCATGTAAATGTTGCTACAAACATTCCAGTTTTAACATTTAGAATCTGTCTTGAAAGTGGTGCCTTTTCGTGTTGCTTCCTTTTATGTAGATCTTGGATGCCACATTTGATGATGTTCTGCCTCTAGCAGCCTCTAAGATGCCACAGAGCTGGGGTGAGAAACCATTTTACTGCAGTTGCATGGTTTTGCTTCCAACTCGCTTTTTAAAGCGAGATTTAGGTCATCCGGGCAGGGATCGGTCACTCTATCCTGGCATTTTTTTGTCAGCCGCCGCTTAGAAGCTCTGTGTCTCATTTGATTGTTCGCCAGATGCAGCAAACACTATGCCGTTCTCGTGTTGTACCACTCATGCTTCCAACCCACCTTTTCAGAGCCCATTGTGAGGGGCACCATTCGAGGGTACCTGAACCTCAACAACCTTGAGCAGCTGAACAGGTACACAAGTTTATCAAATGTGGCATGTCAGTCTGTTTTCCTAACATCTGCTTTACCCACCTTCAGGTACAAGGGCCCAGTACTGATGTATCGGCGAACAAGGGACGAGATCATCTCGACTCAGTATGAAAAGTTCTTATACCTTTCTCGTTGTATTAGAGCATGCTGGTAATGTTAGAAGAATTAACCGGAAAGCAGTGAAGGGGACGAGGACAGGACAAAAGATATGGGGTTTCTTCCCATCCACATCCTTTTTGTTTACTTTCCATTCATTTCTGTAACCTTACTTCTCTGTTTTGGCATTCTTGCTGGACAGGTTGATATACAGGCAGAAACCGGGGGTGAGGAGGAGTCGAGAGCGCGTGGGTATGTCAGAACACGGAGCTCTGGTTGGAACGGTTAGTGGGTAGATGCAAAGTTAGCTGCCTTTGTCTCAACTCTACATTCGAAGGCGTTCGTACGGTGAGTAGAAACAAAGGCAGCTAGCTCTGGGTGTATGCACTAATCATTCCAACCGGAGCTCTGCATTCCGACATACCCATGCATGCTCTCGTCTCCCCCTCTCCCTCAGTTTCTGTCCGTACTGCTTTAATGTTTCGTTAAATGTTTGGGTGTCATTGCTTGATCCTCTCCTAACGAACACATTTGGCATTCTAGTCTGAGAAGAGTTTGAAAGTGATCCCTGTTGTCTAATCATATTGTTCATAAATACTAGTCTGGAGGACTGCTGTCCCAGGCACCTTTATTAATTAGCCTTGAGATAACTACTAATACATAGAAACTGGCAGGTTGGATGTTCACATAAGACCTGTCATTCTTTTGTATTTGTGTTATTCCAAATTTTCCAGTTCCTTGGAATGTCCTGACGATTGTTTCCTTGGTTACACAGGGATTCTGCTCAGATCCAGAGTAATCGAGGGAACAACCTGTTGATAGGTTTACTCCAGCACCGGTAAGCTGACTTCATTTCCTTACAGTTGCTTGGCCTGAAACAAACCCCTCGTGAGAACTGGCTTCGTTACAGACGTTTGCTGTATCAGTAAATGTTTTTTTTAAATTACGTCAGTTTGCCATGCGGCATAGGATACGTTTATTGATACTAAATTAAAAACAATGAATCGGCCCATGTGTGACCAACTGTGAGGCAAATATAAAGGAACCTTAGTTGGTTAATCATAAGCTGAAGTTTTGGTACTGCAGGACGTTGCAAGTAAAAAATGCAGGCATCAAAAGCATTGTCGCATGATTATTCAGTACTGATCCTCATTGTCCAGAAAGCACAGGAGAAATGCAAGATTTACGTTTTTTTTTCTGAAACAGTAGTCTCTGCATCAAAATGCACGCTGGGATGTGAAAATGCACACTGAATGACTATTTTTGCAATCTCTTACTTCACGAGTTGGCAAAGTGTGGATTTTTGATGTTTTGCTAACATTTCACGGGTATGAAATTTCCTGTTTGGGAAATTTCATTTTTGCGAAAATAGCAATATATATTTTTGTATGATAAAGTACCGCTACTTGCAACATTTTTTAAATCACTAAATTTGAAAAAATTCGGTCCTCGCAAATATTTAGTCATTTACAGCAGTGTCTGTGTGAGTGCAGCCCTTGTTAGAAGTAGAGTGCTGTATTGGTGGCTTTGCCACTTGACATTACAGCTGTATTTGACATTATAGCTGTATGGGAAAGCCATATCACTCAACTTACGGGACTTTGTTACATACTTACAAATAGATGTTTCGTCGTAAAATAAATTCTGAAGGTTCATTCACCTTAAATAGGGTGCTTAGCAATCACTCAGTAAAAGAGTGGGTTTTGTGACATTAGTCCACTGCTTGAATATGTTTGTGATTACACAAGCAGTGGGCTTGGCTTGCCTTCTGTTAGCAAGCAGCCGGGACAACGGTGCAGTCATCTTTTCTTTTCCCTTAAATTAAATGTTAGTAAGCCACGTCTGCTTGCTGGAGGACCATGTGAGGTTATATACCCTTTTACAGAAGAACTGAGGCGTTGTGGTTTAAGTACCGTTCTCTTTCCTGCAGTTTTCCCAAACTTGTGAATGAGGACACGCTGTGGGCACTCAGGCATTGGCTCTCTGGAGATAGAAGTCACCAGAGTAAGCATTTCTCGCCCTTTGTCGATTCTCGCTGCCGACAGCTACTCGACGGCCATTTGGATGAAGCTTGGGACCCACGCAGTGGGTTGTTAGTGCAGTGTTAGTTGATTCGAGCTTTCCTCTCGTATTCTTAGTGTTCTTCATTTAGTTCTTTCTATACTTTTCAAAAGAACAAAGTGGATCCAGTAATGATTGGGATTTTTCATCTTAGCATCCGTGTCCAGGATTTGATAATGACGATAATTGATAGAAGGAAGCAGTATTTTTGCTAGGTTTTCACGAAATTTGGTATCCTTCAGAGCAAGAAATGGGAGACTAAGACTCGGTAAACATCTTAGAATCAATGCCTACACAAAGCATCCCAGCAATCACACATGCACGTCTGTGGAAAAATATGCTCAGTAATTCTAAGTTTAACCTCTGAGGCTGGTTAATTTGAAGGCTTGTTTTACTCGTTTGAGAAGTCTGGCTACTCTGGTAGCATTAAAAAAAAAGCCTAAAAATCATGTGGACCATGGAGGTAGGAAGCTTCTGGAGGCAACATGACACCACCACAAGTGAAGCCGCGGGGGACTTCCGGTTTGGAGGGACACCCCCCTCAACGATAACCAAAACCAGAAGATGCCATTGGGTGAAAAGGACAGCTGATTTGGCACCAACAGCAGTTTTCGTCGCCCTTGGAGGCGTTCCCACTGCTTCCCCACTCTGCGAATGCAGCCCCCGGGCGGCCATCTTGCAGGCAGCAAAATCGATTTTTTGGAGCGTTGTAGAGGCTGGCGGCAGCGAGCTGAAGACATGGTTCCTACTCATTCGTCGTCAGTCACCAAAGAAGTTTTTTAAAACCTTGTGTAAACGGTGAGACTTGCCTTTGAGAGCATGTGGAAATGTTTACGGAAGCGCACCGCCGCAGAAAGAAGGCACAACTCACCGAAAGCAGGTTCTGCCGGTCTCGTGGCATGATCAAAGCTTCCTCGGAACGCTGAACTGCTGTGTCTCTGTGCCTACGCACGCTTGGCGAAGTGTTAAAAACAAATCCTGCATATGCGCCTCGGAGATGGTGGCAAGGAGGAGGGGGGGGGGGGGGGGCTGCACATTTGCTTCCACTGGACATCGAGCCACAGGCATTCGCTTCTTGAGCACCCGACATCGTCATGCAGTAGGAGCCTATGGACGTTCCTTCAGCTGCGGCCGTAGTTCTATAAAAATTTATGCAGCATACTAAACCTATGCACCAACCAATTTTTAAAATTAGATTAAAAGCGTTTTTCTGTCCCCGTGAGCTTCGAGATATTGAGAGACGAATTATCAAGTTTTAGGACATCTGTTTTTAGCGAAAATTTAAAAGACATACTTAGAGTAATTATACTCTTAGTCTAGATTTTTGTTACGATTTGCAGTTCACTGCATCTGATACACCTCATTCCTCATGCACGGAGGATGCGCCATTTTATTAACTTCCTGGTAATTGAGAAGCAAGCGTTTACCTTTATTTCAAGCAATATGTCTTTTGCCTTGAAACTGGTTACTATTTTACCCACTAGGATTGTTAGTAGACTGAGCTTAGAGTCACTAAAATTAAAAAAAAAAAGAAATAGATGGGACACTTTTTTTTTTTTTTAAATTTTTCATGAAAACTCTTTTTTGACGTTAGACGCAATTTAGGTGGAGGTCACTGCTCGTTCTAAGCCTTGCCCACTGTCCGGTGCTACTGGAGTTGGCTTGGCTGCTTGGCCGAACACTCTAACAAGCCTAGTGTTTCCCTTATGCGACATCCGGTGCTCCTAGTGCATCTAACCTGGTGTCTGTCACCACCTGCTAGTCGTGAGAGTAGATGCGCAGCAGTCTCTGGCATCGTCTGCTATTCCACCAGCGCCTGTCGTCGTCTGCAAAGCCCGTAGGACGGGGACATGGAAGCTGTGCTTTGGCGTCCATTTTCGCCTGCGTCCGTCTTCTATTCCTCCCCATCCAAAAACTTCTGCAACGCTCGCACGACGTTACCATGAAAGCGGCGTTCTAGGATTCCATCGCATATACGGTCCAATACAAGCGTCCGCCGATGTGCGGTAACGAGCGAACAAGACTAAAAATGTCCACAAAATAAATATGCAGTCCTTCCAGCTTTATTGTTAGTTATTTTTTTCACATAGCAAGCACGAGCAAGGCGGGTAGGCATCATGATGCACAAGAAACGTGACCTAAAAATATTTGCTTTAGCAAACCAGGTGCACTGCTCAAACATTGAGAGCTAAGGGCCTTCCGAAGCGAGATGACAGAAACATACCTGGACAAACCTGGTGCGAGGTGAACACCCGATTTCTTCCAGCCAAATGGCTCGCAAATTCTTACCCGTGTAGGTTACCTCTGAGTGTTGGAACCATGGTCGCAATCACGACAGCTGCACGATTCTCAGAGGAGTGGAGCCGCTTTTCCGGGAACCAAGACACTTATTCAGCATCAAAATGTGCAAATGAAAATATCGGGTTGGATCGAGCAAAATAGTAGCCTTACGACAGTCCCGCTACAAAAACAAGCACCCGCACAGCGCTTCCAAAGGCATGTACTTGCTACAGTTGTTTGCCGCAAACTACGTCGGTTGAGGATATCTTCCGCTAAACACCTTGGTGACCGCGAGATGACTCATTCTCATAAAAACAGGCGAGCTCGACAAGCTACGCAACGCGTCAAAGTCTCTCCGCAAATTTTGGCAGCCATGTTTGTTATTGTTTGAAACGAAAAACAACAAAGACAATCACTTAATATTTTTGAAAACAATAATGACTATGTTTATACCGTATTTAGGTATTCGAAAATGGGTCAACCTTTTTGTAAACAGACATGTATGTCTACTTTCTCGCAGAACCCACGGAGACCGATCAGTAAGACTTATGAAAAAAGCCTGCAAACAGCAAAACAAAGATAACATTTGGGGAAAAAAAAGTGTGATCCACACAGATCTCATTTCTGCTTTCCGACGTTATCGGCACCTCATCATTTGCCGGGCCCCTTCCGTAAATCGCAATGATTGGCTCTTCTTGAACATTGCAGAGAGATACATGCACAGACATAGTTCATAAAGAGGTCGACCCATTCTCAAATGCAATGGTTCGTTTCTCAAACATAAAAAAAGAAAAGATGAATAAAAGACTACCATGGCACGGAGAAACAATCTTACAACGAATATTCCATATGTTCATCATTTCTTCAACCAATGAGAGCAGAGAATAGTTAGCTAAGTACCACGTAGTGTATAGAGCAGGGCTACCCCCTAAATTGCGTCTAACAATGTAAAAATTGCTCTAAAATTTTTTTTTTTTGTATAAAAATGGTAAAAAAATACCATGTGTCCAAACTAAGCTCTTAAAAAAAAACTATTTCAGTGTTTTTTTTTTAATAATTGAAAAGCTGCAGTAGTAGAGTGCCCTTAAGCTAAAGAGTATGATATTGTTCCAATTTCGCTTTCTACTTTTGCTTTGCAGTGGTTCTTTGGAACGAAGAAGGCGTGGACGAAGAGGCCTGCACAGAGAGGCTGGCAGCCTATGCTAGGGAGCACGGAGCCTCTTATCCAATGATGATTGGTGGGTGCTTCTCTGGCTTGAGGGTCTCATAAAGTTCTCCAACTCGCCTGTATAGAATGAGTGCCTTTACTTAATATTGCCGAGAATTGAGAATATATTGGTACTGAACTGAAAGGTAGTCTTTTTTGAGGATGACCACTTCCATGGCATGCAGCTGTGAGTTCATTTCTCTCTGTACAGAATGATAGGACAAGTATAAAAAATTGAGTTAGAAGAGAATGTTGGTGTGAAAGTTGTTTTTATGAAGTTGTGTTCCATGGGTTCCACAGCTTTTAGGGGGGCTCTTCCCACCACTGAAAATGACTTCCGATGTTGTAGTTGTCATTGTTCATGTTATAGATGCCGTTGTAGGAAGTCCATTGTCAATGTTGCCAAATCCTTCAAAAAGATCACCCGCCGCCCGCAGGAATCGAACCTGGGTCTACTCAGTGCAAAGTGGAGGCATTACCACAGAGCTATGCCACAGCATTAATGACCCACTTTATACTTATGGTTTTTGTTGTACCCAATGCTCACAGTGTGCGCTCTCTGGAAAGAAAAAAAATAGCCGATAATTAAATGCCGTCATAGCACTGTCGATGCCAAGAGCTCAAGCCAGGAGATGCGCTTTCGTGCACTTTGGAAGCAAAAAAAGAAACGAAAGGGTCGATGGTCTTATTTTTTTCCGAACGCTTTTGCTCATGCACCTCGCGATGCGTGAAGGCGATGTTGATGCCCAACAACTTTGCCGTGACGTATTGCAGGCGTCACTGTGGATTAACGCAGGATTGCCCAATTTTTTATTTTGTCTTTTTCTAGGTGAAGGTCTGGATGCAACTGTAAAGATCCAGCTTGTTCTGTTCTTGGTAAGAATGTGCCGTGGTTTTCTCAAATTGTTACTATTGTTAATGTGATAAGCATGATTCATGCACATTCAGCTTTGCTGAAGCTTTTGTGAAGGTTCTGAAATTAGTACTTTTGCACTCAGTTTAGTATTCTGTAGCTGCAAAATGCTTGCAAAGTGCTGAACAGATATTGAAGGATGTAATTGTAACGATATGCCGGATACCCTCTTGTTTACTAAGATTATTTGTACCTATGGTTTCGAATGTCCCATCCCTTTCTTGTTTCATCTGAATAGTGCTGACCTGTTTCTCTGTGGCACTCGAAACTGTGTAGTTGTGTGTGGATATTTGTGGTAGCTTTGCTGCTTCAGCAAAGCTACCATACGTCCTTAAGCTGATGGTGCGGTGGAAGCTAGGGATCGCCGGACCAATTGACCGCCTTCCTTTTGTCACCCGACATCCCTCCCTGCGCGTGGCAAAGAGATAGGCGTACGAGTGGTCCAGTGAAGCACGTAAATCCCATTGCCGCGTCAGCTTAGGGGAGATAAGGGTATAGCTCCAAGTTTCCCGAAAACATTCGAGGTTTTCATCCGCTCGGCATACATAGCACGTCGCAGCAATTTATTTACACCACCCGAGCGAGTGACCCACACTTCCTGCTTGACCACGAAGGTAGCGATTCCTTCGTCTCGTTGGTTTGGGGTCATACCCAGTGAGGCCTCAACGAGTTGTGAAAGGCGAAGCAATTGCCACTTTTGTCTCGGACGAGTAGCAGTTGCCTCACCGGATCAAAACTTGCCTTAGGTGTGCCTTCCTTTATACTTTTCTTGTTCATTCTGTTCAGCTTCGTAGTGTGAGACTACGGTGCTGGAAGTGAGTCTCTGACTGGTGCGTTTAGCATCGTATTGCACCCGTGCATCGAAAATTGTCCCGAAGTGGCAACAAATGACGTCGCAGAAGTTGGTGTGTCGTGCTGTCGGATGTCGCAATCCTGGCGGTTGGTTGTAGAAGTTCCGAAAAAAAAAGCGCAAGCAAATGCAAGTGTTTCTGTCCGCACGGCGTCTAAACTCCTGGCTGCTGAAGCCTCCGTGTACTGTCGGTTCAAAGAGCGACCTTAAAGGGGCACTGACACCCCAGAGGTCGTATTTTTCTTATTGTCTAAAACGATGCAAGTTGCAGTCAGACACGCAAAAAAAACCACATTGCCAAATTCGCGCGCGCGCGCGCGTGCCTTTTTATTTTTGGCGTTTGATTCTCCCGCCTCTTGCCTCCTCGCTTCTTTTGATTCGTGACGTCAAGAAGCATGAAATTTAGAAGCTTTGTAGGCGACATCTCTATAACATTTAATAACGGCAATCCTAAAACATGTTTTTTAACGCAATAGCAAACGCACTACAGCCCATCTTTTTGAAATACCAAAAATCGGGAGTTCCTTGTGGTGCCATCTCCTGGATTTGTATCCTCCCACGGAAAACAGGCGACACCGCTCAAAACCGGTCCGCCGCAACGCCGCCGCTCGCTCCTTTCCTCCTCGCTTTGGGTCGCCATGGCAACAGCAGGGAGTCATGAAAAAAAGTGGACTCTCAGAACTCCGCAATATTTGACGTCAACGCACCGGAGTGGATTGCGCGGGAACTTCGAATTCGGCATTTGGAAATTGTTTTTTTACTTCACAAATACTGAATTCCCAAATTTCAAATTTTGAGGGTAATGTCCCGGCATCGTTTTCAATCGTTTCGGATAATAAAAAAAATTATGATTTTGATGTGTCAGTGTCCCTTTGAGCAGAACCGGCGCCTGCCATATCCATTGCTGCCGCTCCGACGCCACCGGGGTCGCGGCCGGCGACGACGCGACACCTCTATGACGTCTTCGGTTGGAAATTGAGGCACCGCTTTCTGGAATGCGGTAAACGCAGCAGTCGAGACCCTTTTCAGGCACCGTACCGGCACCCCGAATTTCATCTGGCGTCCCCTGTCCAAATGCCGTGTCTCCCCTTGCGTTTCGCCAGGCCAAGAAGCACATGGTGGACTTCAACTCGACGCACTGCACCCCGCTGCCCCCGAGCCTGTTCCACTTGCCCTGGGACCTGGCCCAAGTGGCGGACTCCGGTGGCCGAGGTGCGGACGGCTTTTGTCGCGTCTCGGCCGAAATGTGCGACCCGTCCTCCTCCGGCCAGGGAGACTCGGCCGAGCCCTGAGGGACTGGGGCGGGTGCCACCCACGCGCTCGGTCAGGCCTTTTTCTTCTCCCCTGAAACCCCTTACCCCCTCCCCTCCGGTTTCGCATTGCTCTTCCAGCGGCGCACTTCAATCAGTCGGTCGATGGCTTTTATTTTAGTAGTAGTAATATTAATAATAATTTTTATTTTCTGTGCCAAGAAACAATTAGATAGGTTTTCTCCTCGCTGCACAAAGGTAAAGGGAAATAAAATGAAGATAATTATAATCTAATGGAGGGCATGCAGAAATGCAAGGTGGCACGAGGAGAAAAGATGAACATGGTTCGTTCGAAATGCACTACGTACTTGCTGTTACACGTGCCAGTGTAGAGACCCGTTGCCCTACATATTGTTTTATTTACAATATCTACAAATTAACGGCGGCACCGTTCAAAGGCATCTGGCATCATTGCTGCTCTGTAGCTTCTTCCCTAGACTGGTCACTACACCAGCTTATGGCGGAAAAGTGCACAATCACTAAACATGTCCAAGCTAGATGAAGCAATCCTATTCAAAGTGCATACGTGACATTGCCAAGACCTTGCAGACAGAAAGACGGTAAAGTTTAGTTAATGTGTGAAGGGACACAAAAATTGGCACATCTCAAACTTGGGTCGCCATGAAATGCACTATACAGAGCTGATATATTGACAAGTCAGAGCTGTGACTATAGCGCTGAGTCATTGCAGTGCTCTACGGGCGAAGATTCTTTTATGGCCATGTTTCGTTGATATGGACACTCCCGTTCTCCCAGAGATCGTCCGTGATGAAACTTGTCCGTAATAATGACACAAAAATGCACGCATTTGCCCAGTTTGTACCTGCTCATATTGTTTATATAGCAGGATATCCAACTAATGGGGCTTACATTAACGAGCCATAACTGTACAACTTATTAAAAACCGTCTGGTCCCATCGCCCTTTTGGCTTGTATGGGTTCATTTTAAGAAAATATTAGGCTGGCAGTCACTGATAATGAAAACACTAAAGATGCATAGAGATCTAAAGAATATGAGTTTAGGCAAGTAGTTTATACAATGTAGAAAATGGCACACATGAAATGAAATAAAGAAACACTGACGCCCCCCAGAAAACATTTAAAATTTGTGATTTAATGTCGTGACAGAAGACTGCCCAATCCATTTTTTGCTACAGCGTCATATATTTTTAATAGTCAAAAAACGCAACTGCTCAAAACTGAAGCTGAAACAAGACTAGGGAGGAAGAAGAAATGTAGAGAAGTGAGTTGCTGGAAGTCACGTGGCTACACCTGACCGCGTTTTCTTTCTTTTTACTTTGTTTGTTTTCTTGCTTGCGTGCTAAGCAGACGAAAAAAGCGCATGTCGCAAAAAACGCAAACACTTGGTGTTTGACGTTTGCACGTTTTTCAAGTTCTTACCAATTCGCATAAAGACGAGCGATGTCTTCAGCCAGGAGAAGGGGGCGAAAACTCGGCGACATCTTCGTGCAAATCAGCTTGGTGGCCGGGCGTGTCGTGTCGTACGGAATAGGGCTCCTTGCACATGACGTCATTTCCGATACCCTCCAGAGAAGAGGGGGAGAAGGAGCTCCCCTTTTATCAGGACCCTCCTTTGTGCCTTCCGGATTTGCACAGGCGTCGCTATTCTCCTCCCAGAAGATTATAGAAGATTATCCCGTCACTTAAAATTCTTACAAAAGCAGCTTCCCTCTCCTCCTTTTACTTGGTGTGCAAATGTGTGCGATGTGACGTCAATGCAAGGAGCCTATAGGCTCCTTGCACTGACGTCAGATCGCACACTTTTGAACACCAAGTAAGAGGAGGAGAGGGAAGCTGCTTTTGTAAGAATTTTGAATGACAGGTTAATCTTCTATGATCTTCTGGGGGGAGAATAGCGACGCCTGTACAAATCCGGGAGGTACAAAGGAGGGTCCTGATAAGAGGGGAGCTCCTTCTTCCCCTCTCCTTTGAAGGGCAACGGAAATGACGTCCTGTGCAAGGAGCCTATAAATCCCAATTGCTTTGATCAACAAACGATTTCTCTTTCGAAGCTAGACAAATTCGCCGGTACCACAAGCAACAGTTCTGAAGTAAAGGTCCCAAATCCCATCTTATGCCGCCATCGCTTAATCCGCTTTGTTCAATTGTCCCACGATACTGCGCCATGTTCAGAATTGTGCAGAGAATGTACAGAGTGCTTTCGGTTCTCTGTGCAACTTTTATTTTTTTAATCAACATATTTGCGTTTGTTCAAAGCCACAAAAAATCGGTATCATATTTTTTTCTTTTTTTTTATATTGAGTGTTTGCCTTCAATGACCCATGGCTTTGTTTATATTGGGTGTGTGTGTCTAAACCATAGAGAATGGCACGTGACCCTGGAGAAGAGAGTGAGCGCAACTGAAAATGGCCAGTTCTGGATCGACGGTTTTCGGGGAGAAAGAAAACAAATTTTGATGCATATTGTGCTTTGGGTAGTTGGGCTCTCATATGTTGTGTACAAGTAAAAACGTTGGGGCCTTTAAATACCTTGTCAGTGTCCCTTTAACACCAGTATGTTTTGAACAGTGAAGAAAAATACTTGGAGGTAGTGCAAACGAGTGTGAAGGTGATAAGAAATGTATCCTATTTACAGCACTAAGCCCATGCCAATCTTGGATGGCCTCTAGTTATACTGTTGTGGACATGACATTCCAGCTATTTCACATTTTACTGATGCGGTCTAATACTGGACATTAAATTTCACTGCTTAGGTTGATATGACCCATGTTCTACACAAGCACACCTTTGCTTTCGTAGAGAAATGTTGCATGATGTATAATTGCCTGAAGGAACTATTACAGTCGAGCCCGGTTATATCACACCCGTGTATTTCAAATTATTGCTTATATCGAACAGTTCAAACATCAAACTTTGCACGGCGGCCCTTCGCTTCTCCCGTGGTCAGATTGCGCCCGCGGAGCACATAGGTCGCGTTGCCGGGCTGGCAGACCGCCAAGCCAGCATACGCGCACGGAAATACGCAACAAAAGGCAGTTGCAAAAAAAGAAAAAAAAAAAAAAAGGGAGGATGGCAAAAGCAAAGGAAAAGGCACGCGCGCGAGGGAAGGCAGGGAGCGCTCCTTAGCCCCAAAATAAAAGAAGCAAAAAAAAAAAAAAAGTCTTTATGCACTTTGAACGCCTTATCTTTGTTTACCTTTTTCTTTCGCCGTTTTTGCTTTGCGCGTTTTTTTTTTTTCTTCTTTTTTTGCTGGTTGAATTTAGTGAGGTTTCTTTTTTTGTTGCTTGCTTAACTTTATTTTATGGATCGAGCGTTTTTTTCATGCAGCTCGCTTTTTCCGTTCTTTCATTTTTTTTTTTATTTTGTGTTTTGTCGTCGGTGCTGTGTGAAGGTCGTGCGCGCGTAAACGATAGCAAACACCGTCGCGTAAACGCGGCGGTGTTTGTGATCTTCACCAACTAAGCTCTACTGTGTTTAGCGGCTCTTAGTGGCTCTATTTGTTAAGGTCACGTTTGTCACGGCCTTCGGTATTAGCAGAGACGCGCGGAGATTTCAACTGGAGCTTAATATAACATATTTTTGTATATCGAACTATTTTACGATCCCCTTTGAATTCGATATATCCGGGTTCTACGGTATATCATGATCATTATTAGTGAGGAATGAGGATATGCTTCTGCATTATCTTCTAATATAATATTGTAAGCTCAACTCTGTTTCTGCAGATTTTACATCATTGAATAATCCTGGTTTGTTGCAGGGAATGGATCTTCTGCTCCAAAACCAAGGATGTAGAAGTATAAGCACCCTGACTCTGCTCTTTCGTTTTGTTATTATTAATGTGCTGCTGGAGTTCCATTACCTTTTGTTTGTGTCACTGACATACTTCAAGGAAGTGCTTTCCCTTGCTGCAGTGCATTTGGCTTTTTATTTCTTTGTTGGTTTCTAATGGAACGTCTTGGGACTTGCTGGATGTTTTTGGTTTCAGCTCATTGGCCTCACGAAATTGTCCTGGCCTGATTCTTTGGTATAGGGTACAGTCAGAAGAATTTTAGTAGTGGTATGTGGAAATCAAACCTCTAATGTACAGATTTCTTCAAACTTGAGATGGCCATTGGGGCTATATTCTATGTTGCATCCTTTATGGTGCTCTTGATCCAATGCCTAAAAGGAGATTAAATCACCATCGGCATTGAGTATAAGGGCTCCAGCTTTCGAGCAGGCCGGTACTAAACAAAAGTTTCAAGATCTCGGGGGAAAAAAAAAAAAAAAAAGATTATTGTGGTTGCGATACTATATGGTAAGAATTTCGTTCATCGCTACTTTTGAAGGGCCTTGGACATTGCTTCTCATGTATGTAGTGTTTACACTTTGATCTAATGCATACTGAATGCAGGTCTACGGTTGAAACGTTCTGTGAACTTCGTCTTTCATTAAAGCACCTCAGTCTTGTCCCTGATATTTCTGGTCTAAGCCTGATATTTCTGATCTAAGCCATTGGTAGCATATACAGAGTGCAAATGAATTGGGGATCAATTTACGTTTTCTTTATATTATTATTTGGACATTAAAAGCAACATGTACTGTAGGAGTTTCTGTGGTCTCAGATAATGAATTATATATGCTTGTGAATTTGACTGCTATGGTCTGTTCCAAACTTTGAGGTCTTTTCGGCCATGCCCTGTATTCTCTGTGATATTCTTGATGAACAATCATAGGAAGTCTTTGTTTATTTGTTAGATTAACTTTGGAGTCTCCAGAACAATGCCAGTACAGTATTTATTGTGATCTTGCAATGTCTGTAGGCACACATCCTCTAATTGGAGTTGACATTAGAATTGATATAGAAGAAACTTTTTGTGAAAATTTGTTTGTTTCATCGTGACATTCCTGCTTGTATGAAGTTGATTGCCTTCTACACTTGGAGGAGAGTGGGTATTTATATTGTAGGCACAAGGCATATTACTCGTGCTGTTCTTGCTTCCCGATTCACTGTGTGTTCTCTGCAGAGGTTAAATTAATCATTTTCTGAACAAGATGTAACCAAGCCCCTTTCACTGAGGCATTGGAGCCATATGTATGGCTTTACGAGACTTGGGCCTGGGAACCTGGTTTGTGTAAAGTAACGAGCAATGGTAATTGTATGTACTGTGCTAATGCATATTATATGTTCACACTTTTGGGCCATAATAAACTAGCGATCTACATCCTGAAGCGCTTATTTGGTTGTGTTTTATGCTTGCACATCATGCTTTGGGCAATTTTATGCTTTTGTTGGCATGTAAAGAAATAGCAATTTTACTACACTCTTGAGGGTTTAGAAAAGCAGGATAAGCTCCTCCTGCAAAGCCCTTTACACTTTACCAGAGAATGCTGGGGATGGAGGGGCATGGACTCTCCTCCTCTCCAGCATTTGCTCTACTAAATTGGAATGAGTGGTGTGCTTCGTGGGAGGAGTCAGCCCTGCTTTTCTTAAGCTGCAACGGCACTCGCTAAAGGCATGTGGTTTACCTTTGCAATGTGCCACTGATGGACAAGTAGTTCAGTGTGCATGGCGAATTTGGTGGTTGGGCATGGCAATTCAGCCATATCCGGTAGATTTGGAAGGGACGAGAGTGCACATTTTGGAGAGTCTGCATTTGTCATTAAAAGACATTTATAAAGTCTAACTTGGCACACCCTATCCTCTGCTGCCTGTCACTGAAAGCTTTGTCTGCTGCTGTTCTCGAATGAGGCCACTGTGACCGTCCGGACGGACTGACATTTCCTTTGGCAGTTCGTCTGTAACACATAACACATCCCATCACTGTCCCGCACTCAGTCGTTGAATGTTTATCACGTCGTTTAACACCCGAGACCGTGGTGCAGAAAAGGAAAAAAAAACTTAGTCGAAGGAACAGACACAGAAGAGATTGTCTGAAGCTCGACTAACTGTTTTATTTCTCAAGCATCCAGCGAACCCGGAAGTCTATTTTACGGGGAGGGGGGGGGGGGGGGGGGGGTGCTAGCGGGCTAGCTAGCGGTTGAAATAAAAGGGGGGGGGGGGCAAACTAAATGAAAAAATTAAAATTGAAAAAAATTACTGTTTATGGAAGGTTTATTTTTACTATCTATACCGTGTGTCCATACATTCATCCGAAATTCCTGTCACGAAGCAACGATATGCTGACACAATCTGATCCAATAGGAGTAGCTATACGGCGGCATCGATCTACGGTGTCGATGTAAAATGCTCTGGAAAATCGGGGGCCTGCACGTAGAAAGCTGACATTTTCAACAAAGCGTGGATGCATTCCTGTGAAATTTCTCGGCGCAGTTTTGTTCCTGTAGAAAGTTATAACAATGCATTCTTGAAATTTCAAAAACGATAACCACCGGTGGACGCAGTCGTCCTTTGGTGGTAAACCTTCACTGGCGATGCCCTTTTTTATTTCAGCATGTTTTCTGTTTTTATGGTCGTCTTTGAAAAGTGGGCAAAACCAGTCATGGGCGCGTTACTGCTAAAATGTAACAGTATTGCAGCTACTCAGAGGAAAAAGTAACCCTGCTACAGTTACAGAATTTAAAGAGTAACTTGTTACAGTTACTTCGGTAAAGTAACGCCGTTACTTTGTCGTTATATTACAAAAAAATATTAGACATTCAAGAGGAACCTTCCTCAATATGCATTATTGCATATTAAGGAAGGTTTCTTTATACACGCTGTATAAATATCCCCACAACCCCAATTATTTAATACACCACCAAGAATTTAAAGGGGCAGTGCAACGATTTTATGATTAAAAGAATTTGCATCTCGTAATTTTTGAGTTGTTTATCGTGTTCCGGAGGATAGAGAAAACACCTCCTTCATTAAAAATGTCGCGATTCCGCTGCGTCATCGCAAAGCAAAAGTTGAGTTTTTTCCCCCACCTGCAGCCCCAAGTGGCAGCCGAAGGAACTACGGCAAAAAGATTACGTGACCTCGCTCGGCTCTAAGCTGCAGCCTAACGCCTGCTAATGTCAGCAGAGAGAGGAAGAGGAAGCGTCCTCCGAGATAGCACACGGGAACCTACACGGCACTCCGAATGACGTCACTAGGAGGGGGACCAGGTGTGACCCTGAAGGCTGGGAGCAGACTTGTACCGTACGCATTACAAGTAATCAAATTACTTGTAATCGATTACTTTTTGGAGTAATTTTGTAATCAGTTGATTACTTTTATTAGGCAGTAATCACAAGAGTAATCTGATTACTTCTTGAAGTAATAAAATTACTTGTAACCGTTACAATTTGTCCACGGGACCCCCCCCCCCCCCCCCCCCCCCCCCCCCCGATCCGGCACACGCCTTTTTTTTTATGAAATGACAAAAATAAAATTTGCTTTTTTTTTTTCGAACAGAAAAAGAAAGATTTTCGCGGTGTAGAAAACGAGGTCAATCTCTTTCTATGTACAGTTTCTGAAAAATGTCCTTTTTTTTTTTTTTTGAGCTGGGACTTGGAGTGGGAGGCCCCAGGGAGGCCACAGTGCGTGACAAAGGCCATTCAGGGCGAAGTTTGAGGAAGCAGAATGTAGCTTTGGGAGTCCCTCGTTCCAACTAGCCCCCTCACGCACACACACACAGAAACAAAAAAAAAAAAAAATCCTACTTAAGGTACCTACTCGCAGCCCGTAGGAGAACCAGAACCGAAGAATACCTAAAGCGGATGCAAAATAGAACAAAGGCAGTTGAAATTTTTTTCCATTTCCCCTACGTGGTCTTTGTGACAAGCAATGTTTCGAGTTGAGAAGTGGTCGGTGCGATCTCTTCCGCTAATGGATACTACACATGATCCGTCTCAAATCCTGGAGCTGCTGCTCCTTTGTATAACATGCGAGCTCATCCACATGTGAATAATAAAATGAGCGACGCAAACTTTGAGCGACAACCCCCCCCCCCCCCCCCCACACACACACACACACACACACTGGCGAACGCCCAAATCATTAAACGTCTTCAAACGAATCCTATGCTTGTGTCCGTATTGTGAAGGTGCAACGACTACGAAGAGGGAGCCAGTTTTTCTTGAAATATAGGTTGGAAGTAGTTCATGGCTATGAGCGCTAAAGATGTGTCTTCACACAATAAAGTAATCGGAAAAGTAACAATTACTTCTTTAAGTAATGTCCAATTACTTTTACCGTCGAGTAATCAAGTAATCTAATCGAATACTTTTTAGCCAAGAGTAATAGTAATTGTAATCGATTACGTTTTTTTAGTAACGTGTACAAGACTGGCTGGGAGTGAGTTGAGGGGTGCCCGAAATGGCAATATTTATCTTTTTTTTTTACGCAACAACTAGAACACGCAGGCGAAATCCGTTTTCTGTTCTTTACTTCAGAAGTGTCAGAGGGCAACTTCCAGAAATCTTTGACCGAAGTCCGGAAATCGTTGCACCGCCCCTTTAAAAGCCAGTGAGGACTTCAATTTTAGTCGAATTTAAAACAATATCACAAGTAAAAGTAACATTCTTGTTTTTTGGGTGAAATAAAACCGCTTTTGTTTTATTTTCATCGATTTTTAGAACATTACAGCTACACCACTTAACAAGGTCTTTAAGAGTTTCATTTGCGCTCTTTATTAGTTCATTACAGTTATTACCTGCAAATAGTAAACTAGTGTCGTCAGCGTAAATTACATATTTGATATTTGTATTCAAGTTCAGGATATCATTGACATATAAATTAAACGAAAAAGGACCTACAATACTTCCGTAGGGAACTCATTAGAAGAACAACCATTTTTATGGACGTATTGCTTACGACGTGAAAAATATGACGCAATTAAAGTTGATACCTGTCCACGAAAACCATATGTTTTTAGTTGCTTTATTAACAGATTATGATTTAGATAATCGAACGCTTTACTAAAATCAATAAATATTCCAAGGGTCATTTGTTTGCTGCTCAAAGTTGCCCAATATATATTCTTTTTGCTCTAAAAGAGCGGGCTCGGTAGACCGGCCTTAACGGAAACCAAACTGCGAAGCATTGATTATACTATGCTTATCTGAAAACTTCACCGTGCGTGAAAGCAATATTTTTTCAAAGCCTTCGAAAGCACTGGTAAGGTAGAAATAGGCCTGTAGTTTGCCCATGTCGTTCTTGTCACCCTTTTTATACAATACGCTGACCTTAGCTATCTGCATATTTTTTTTTAAACGCCCCGAACTGCAAGCAGAGATTAAAAATGAATGTCAGGCAGGGTGCTGTGATATGTATTACATGTTTTATCGGACCTATCTGCATTTCATCAGCGTTACAGCTTGTACTATTTTTAAAAGACAAAAGTGTGTGTATCACCTCGATATTCAAAACTAACTTAAGAAAGATCGTACTTTGATTTTTACGTTCAATATACGCGCCGGTCGTGGAGGGCGGCGCGATGATGTCCGTGTTCCGTCGGGAATCCCCTCGTAGTTCAGGTCCCCGAATCGACGAAGCACCTTGTAAGGTCCGAAGTAGTGTTTCAGGAGTCTCTCGCTCAGACCGCGCCGTCGTATCGGGGTCCAGACCCACACACGGTATCCAAGCTTGAAGCAAACGTCGATCCGACAAAGGTTGTGCCGGGTAGCGCCGGCATGTTGTTGATCTTGAATCCGGAATTGGGCGAGCTGGCGGACTTCTTCAGCTCGTTGAGCAACAACCTGGGCGTCTTGGCTCCCATCGTCAGCTGGTTCGTGGGGCAGCATCGCGTCGAGCATGGTCGTTACTTTTCTGCCATGCACCAGCTGAAACGGTGTTACTGCTGTGGTCACTTGCACCGCCGTGTTTTAAGTCACGTAAAATAACACCTCGTCCCATATCTTGTGCTCTACCTCTACATACCTCGACACTAATTCGGCTATGGTCTTGCTCAGGCGTTCCGCCAGCCCATTAGTCTGAGGATGGTACGCTGAGGTTCGCCGGTGGTTGGTGTGGCTGAGACTGAGGATCTCTTGCATCAGCTGTGCCATGAACGGTGACCTGCGATCTGTAATCAGAACTTCGGGAGCGGCGTGCCGGAGGACGATGGACTCCGTGAAAAACTTGAAAAACTTCCACAGCAGTCCCTGAAGGAAGGGCTTTCGTTTCGGCGTGTCACGTGCCATAATCTGTGGCGACGATTATCCAGCGGTTTCCCGACGTTGGCGGTGGAAAAAGGCCAAGTAAATCCATTCCGATCTGCTGGAACGGCATGGACGGGGGAGCAATC